CATGACTATCTATCTATCTATCTATCTATCTATCTATCATCTATCTATCTATCTATCTTCTATTCATCTATCTATCATCTATCAATATATCTACCACCTATCTTCTGTCATCTGTCTATCTATCTATCAATCTATTATCTATATCTATCCATTCACTACATCCACCCGCTTACCCAATCAATTATTCACCTCTCTATCCATATTTATTCGTTGACATCCTGTCCCTTCACTCATCCATCAACCTTTCCACTCATGTATCCACTCATTCATCATCTCTTCATCTACCCACCTATCCTTTAATCCATCCGTCCATCCATCCATCCATCCATCCATCCATCCATCCATCCATCCATCCATGTATCCATCCATCCATGTATCCATCAATCCATGCACTTCATCATTCATCAGGTTCATTCACTTATTGGTCCTTTATTTTTTTCTTTCCTCTCTTCTGTTTTTCCAATTAGTCATTGTTATTCTTCTTCAATTCTAGGTTGACCCCCATCTATCCATTTTTCTTTCCATCTATCCATTTAAAACTTCCATTGCACTGTCTTCAAAGTTTTTTGTCCTCCTTGCTCAGCCTCTCTCCAACTAATTGCTCTCATCCCTTCACTCACACCACCACTCTTTCCTTCACCCTTGTTTATGAGCTGTCTATGAATGGTTTACCTGGCTTGGACCACTGCTGGAAGGGATTCTGTCATCATGTGGACCTCTGTGCATCCCTAATGATAGTGTTTTCTGCAGCTCCTGAGCTAGCCACCACCATCCTGCCTTCTTCATCAACATCTGTGTCACCAGTATCTACCACAGGTATCAGGGGTCCCCCCTTCTCCTACCTTGATGAGATTCCTTCCCTTACACTTATGAGAACTAGGAAACAAAGATGTCAGAATCATAGTGTCTGGGCCACTTTACAAGATTAGACTATCAGTACAATCAGATACCTACCCTCATACAACCTACACTCATACAACCACTAGGCTTATTTTTTTTTTTTTTTTGGTCTTTTTGAGACAGGGTCTCCCTGTAGCCCCAGCTGTCCTGGAACTCACTATGTAGACCAGGCTGGCCTTGAACTCACAACGATCTGCCTGCCTCTGCCTCCCGAGCACTGGGATTAAAGGCCTGCACCACCACGCCCGGCTTTTTTCTTTTTTTTAAATATATCTTTTTTTTGGAGACTCTCAGGCAGGGATCTTCCGGGTGCACAGGGCTGGGGGTGCGCAGGGCTCTGCAGGGTGTGCAAGGGACTAGAGGTGTGCAGGGATCTGCGGGGTGTGCAGACCTAGCGGTGCACAGGGCTGGGATTGCCCAGGGATCAGCGGGGTGGTCAGGGCTGGGGTGTGCAGGCACATTGGTAAGTGGTGGGACACTAGAGACATGAGTTGTGGTACAGGATTCTAGTCTCTTCCCAGTGAACTCTCAGTTCTAGGTATCTCTTCTCATCTCTTCTTGCAGCTGTGGGACACCACCAAGAGACCTTCACAATCAACTTCACCATCTCCAGCCTCCCATATGCAGCAGACATGAGCAATTGTTCAGCCACATTCAACCACACTAGGAATGTTCTGCAGGACCTGGTGAGACTCTCATCTCAGAAGCTTCTGTTTTGATAAACCCTATCCACTTACTCTATTTAACTCTATTTTTCCTTTCTCTTCCATTTTTCCCCAGCTTACACCATTGTTTCAGAACGGCTCCTTCAATTCAAATTGCAGACTGAATTCTCTAAGGTGAGTCCACTCTGTATCTGTTTACCAGAACTGATCAGCCCAATTGTTACCATTATTCTTGCTCTTCCCTCCTACTAATTCTTATCTAGATAAAGACTCTTCTAGAGTATCCATACCTGTTTCTCCCCAGGCCTGAGAAGAATGGAACAGCCATTGGTGTGGGCATCGTCTGCACCTACCAACATGACTCTGCACATCCTGGGTTAGACACACCAGGGCTGTACTCAAACTTCAGCCAGCTAACCCTTGGAGGCACCCAGCTGGGCAACTACACACTAGACAAAGATAGTCTATATGTCAATGGTGAGCATGGCTTGCTATGGGAGATCTTCAGGCATTCTCTATGTCTTTGTACCTCTCAACATTAATGGTGGTCTCTTTCCGGACCACTTGTTTCTACATTCTTAGCATCTTTTTCAAAGAATTGGAGAAGGATGCAAAAATATTATGCCAGGAAAAGGAAGGTAGCAGGTTACACTGCATTTGAATTCAGCAAACTGAGAGATATGATGCTCTTGCTCCGTTCACGTTCTCTTTCTTGTTTTATTTTATTGTTTGTCTGGGTTTTTTTGAGACAGGGTTTCATTATGTAGACTTGGTTATTCTGCAACTCAATATATAAACCATGCTACTCACTCAGAAAGACCTGCCTGTCTCTGCCTCCTGAGAGCTGGGATTAGAGGCATAAGCCTCCACAGCTGGGCACTTTCTCTTTCATATTCAAATATGGCACTGACCTTATTTACAGTGAGTTTTCTCACCCTAATTAACCCAATTTGAAAGTCTCTCCCAGATATGCCAAACTTATGATTTTAGATCCTGTCAATTGACAAGTCATTTATACACAATGAGGTGGCCAAAGGGATATCATGCACCTCCATTATTCTCACTTTAACAAAGGAAGCAACTTAAGCATAGCTAGGGAGATGGATGTGCCCCCTTCTACAATAAAATTAAACCAATCTAAATTTTGACATGCTAATTATACAACAGATCTATTTCATTTGATTATTGCAAAGACCTGTGTATAGTTTTCACCCTCATAAACTACATGATGGATTTGCATCATTCTATTGTCCAATCAGTATTTATCAAGCATTTACTATCAGCCTGACATCATGCCTGACACAGGGAAAGTATATATTTCGTATATACCTTGTCATAACATAAACTGCAGTGTGGCACAGACAGGTTTTGTTTGTTTGCTTGTTTGCTTGCTTGCATGGTTGGTCAGTTGGTTTTTTGCACCATATTCTTCAAATAGATATGGAGTACCACACATAGTAAGTACCCAATAGTAAATATCTACCAGATGGATAAATAGAGGGAGAGTAAGAGAGAGAATGAGGATGCATTGAATAGGGGAATTGAGGTGTGATAGTGACTTATGAGAACAACATTTTGACAGCATACAGGAGATGATGTGGTGGGGGATGTGTCTAATTGGAATATCAGGAAATAATTCTCCATGATGACATTTAAGTTGGATCCTAGAACATTAATAGATGTTCAATAATATATACTAGGGCATGCATCCAGATAAGGACCCACATAGACCAAGCATGATGTAAGGGACTGTGCTGCCCCTTCCTCTTATGTGTGTCTTATGTTTTCTAGGTGTTAAGCAACACCGTCCAGAAGAACCTCCTACAAGTATGTATCAGTTCAGTCTCTCTGGGTTTTGGTCCATGCCTTTCTCCTAATTTCCAAAGGAAGCTTGTCCCAAGCACAAGCCAGTTTCCTAAGAAGAGACAAAGACTCAGTGGAAAAAAGATACAGAACCATTGGCCTCTTCTTGTAACTGAAGCTTTAAAGTTGGATATCTGAATTTTCTATACTCCTTTCAGTGGGAGAAAGATGTTTAAACAAATATACCTTACAGCATTATGGGGCTGAGGTCGATGGTGACTGCATAATTTGTCTCCCAAAATAAATTAAATGCTAAAAGCAAGGACTTCATTGTCAATTTGAAAATTATAATTTCTTCAGTGTTTTGGCTAAAATTTCCTACTCTCATATATGTTGGTCCAGTCATTTCTCTTTCCATTCTTCACATTTTCTAGTTATTCTTCCTCTCACAGCACATTTTTATTCATCCACCATTCTTACTGTCCATTCTTCTATATTCCTTTCATTCCTTCTCACTTTCCTTTCTCTATTCATCTTTGGATCCATTCACTCATATACCATCTATCCATCCACTCAACCATCCATCCATTCATTTACCTACAAATCTGCCTCTCCATCCATATATTCACCCATCTATACAAACACCAATCCATCTGTCCACCGTCTATGCATCTGCCAATCCATCTAATTATCTACCCACTTATTTATTTTGTTGACTTTTCTGCTTGTTATTTATTCTTTCTAGATTTTCATCTGTTCATCCATGTACATATGAATTCATCTATCCATCCATACAACATATATTCATTCATCCATCAACCCACCAATCTATTCCACAGCCATGTACCCATCTGCAACCTATCCACTGATTCATCTACCCATCCAAACATCCATCCATCAATCCATTAAGGTGTGCATGCACTTGTCCATTCATCATCAGGTTAATTCACTTAAATATCTTTTATTCTTTCTTTCCTGCCTTCTATCTCTCCAACTTTTCTTAATTTTTATTATTTTTCAGTTCATGTGTTGACCCTTCTGTTAGCTTTGCCACCTTCCATCCAAACATTTATTCTTTCTATTTTCTGCATTCCAGTTCATCTGTCCTCTTTGCTCACTCTGTCTCATGGCCACTAATCTCATAGTCTTTAGTTAATTCCAGTCATCTACTTGCTCACCCCTCCAATCGCACAATAACTCTTTCCTTCATTCTTGTTTATGGTGCACCTGTGAATGGTTGTTCTGACTTTGACTATAGTAAGAAGAATTTCTCTCACTTTGTAGAGTCTCTGCACACCCTTGATAACAACCTTTTCCTCAGCTTCTGAACCAGCTGCTCACATCTTGCTTTGTACACCAGTATCTGTGCAGCTAGAACCAACCACATGTATATGGGCCTTTTCCTACCCTTGATGGGGGTCCCTGTTCCATACCTCCACCACAGGACTTCTTGATGAAAACTAGGAAGCCAGGATATGAGGGTCCTAGTGTTGGAGTCATCATTACAAGTAAAAAGATTAGACTAGCAATTAAATCAGGTGCTCCTCACATCACACCAATAGGCTTGTGAGAAAAATAGACAATTACAATACAGTGAGTCATTTGGGGGGGTATGTAAGAAGCACATGGGTGGAATAATCTAGAGAGGGGAAGACTTTCTGAAGAAAGTTCCCCTTGAACTCTCATGATGAGTAGCAGTGATCCAAATAAATGGGACATGAAGTGCTGCTAGAAGGGAGGATTCTATCAGTAAGCAAGTGAGAAACCCAGAATGAATGAGTACCTGAGACTGAAAGTCATCAAAAAATGACTTTGAGCAGCGAATCAAGAGCTTGAACTAGACACTGAAAATACACAGAGAACCATGGGTGGTACTAGACCAAGGGTGATGCTAGTGAGATTTTCATTTCAGAAAGCTTCTTTTCAGGTTCAGCATAGAGAATATGTTTTAGACATGACATCAAATGAGTATATCGGGTTGATGTTTTGAATATGGGAATATAAGACCTCAGCTGGGGTGTAAAAGGAGAGAAAACGTATGTGAGGAACAGTCAGGAAAGATAATTTGTGTAACACTGAGGTAAGAAGATGTACAGGTTCTGACTTGGATGGACACACTGGTAAGTGGTGAGAAACTGGGAAAGAAGATGAGCTGATAAGAGCATGATTCTAGTCTGCTTTCATGGCAACAGTGTAGATATCTCCTGTCTTCCTGCAGCTATGGACCACCACCTGAAGACCTTCACAATCAAGTTCACCATCTCTAACCTCCCATATTCAGGAGACATGAAAAATGGCTCAGCTATGTTCAACTCCACTGAGAGTGTCCTGCAGCACCTGGTGAGACCTTCATCACAGCAGATGAAGATAAGTCCAAATAATCCACTTTATCCAACTCTGGTTTCCTTTCCCTCCTCCTTCTTCTCCAGCTTACACCCTTGTTCCAGAATGCTTCCTTGGACTCAGGTTGCAGACTGAATTCTCTCAGGTAAGTTCACTTTCTATCCATTTGCCAGGAATAGATGTCCTTTATTGTCACCATTCTGTTTCCTCCTTCGTCCTTCTGGTTCCTATATGCATTAAAATCTTCCTAGAGTCTCCACATACCTATCTCTCCAGGCCTGAGAAGAGTGGAACAGCCACTGGTGTGGCTATCATCTGCACCTACCAACATGACCTTGCACATCCTGCGATAGACACACCAGGGCTATACTCAAACCTCAGCCAGCTAACCCTTGGTGCCACCCAGCTGGGGAACTACACACTGGACAAGAATAGTCTATATGTCAATGGTAAGTGTGGGCTGTAGTTTTCTATAAGATGCCCCCAGACAGCCTTAATTTTCCCTGTCCCTCTCAGTATCAATGGTAATATCTGTCTGGACCTGTTGTTTCTACAATCTTAGCATCTTAGTCATAGGACTAAAGAAGTTCACACAAATAGCATGGCAGGAAAGGGGATGTAGAACCTCACATTGTGAGAGAATGAATGCTCTTGTTCTGCTCTCTTACTTCTTATTAGGTCCAGGAGCTAGCACATGATGGTGTTGCCCATGTATACAGTTAGTCTTCCCACCTCTATTAACTCATTCTAAAAACTATCTCACAGATATACCCAGGGAGCTTGTCTGGTTGGTAGCTTCAGGTTCTGTCAACTGGAAATCTATATTAATGATTATACCTAGGAGGTGGGTAAGGAGACATCTTGTACCTCCATCACCTGAATGACGAAACATTCATTTCTTTGTTCTTGAACAAAGAAACTGAAGCTTGGAGAAGGAAAGGGACCTGCCTGCTCATACAATAATTTTGTTGTCATTCTGGATGTTTACGTGCTGAGTTTACAACTGATCCATACCATTTGGCTATCATAGGTACATGTATATGGATTTCACCCTCATACACTGCATAATTTATAGGAGTATTTTGCTGCTCATTTTATGTTTATTAGGCATTTACTATAAGTCAGACACATTAATACCTTATCCCAATGTACAGTGCAATGGACCATAGGCTGCTTTTCCCCCACTATATTCTTCAGATGGAAATAGAGTACCACACACAGTAAGTGCCCAATAAATATCTACCAGATAGAGAGAAAGAGGGAGAAAGGGAGAGTATAGGGGAAGATGATGGTGTGAATGGATACAAATAATTGGAGAAGTGAGGAGTGAAAATAAGTCTCAATGAAAACTTCTTATTGGTAGCATACTGGGGATGTGGTGTAAAAGAGCTGAGTGAAATTCTCCATGATGACATTTAAGTCAGATCTAACAAGATGAATAGATTCTCAATAATATGTACAAAGATGTACATTCAGATGGATTCTCACGTGGACCAAGTATGGTGTATGGGACTATACCTTTCTCCTCATGTGTGTCCTGTGTTTTCTAGGTTATAAGGACCCTGGTGTAGAAGAACCTCCTACAAGTATGTACCAACTCAGCCTGTCTAGGACTTGGTCCATGCTTTTCTCCTCATTTACACAAAAAGCTTATCCTAAATTCCAGCCAGTCTCCTCAGAAGAGTTATGATCTCCATGGATGCAAGGTTCAGAGCCACTGACATCCTCATGAAACTATAGCTCTAGTGCTGGATTCTTGAATTTTCCACACTCCTTTTGACTGGAGAAAGATGACTAAACAAGTGTCTCCTACAAAATGATGGGATGGAATAAAACAGAAGTTTCTAGATCCACTGACACTTATTCTTCCATCTGTCCATGCACCCAGTACCCATCCATCCATCCATTTGGCATGAGTATACTTGCTTGTCTTTTCCTCCTTCTGTTTTTCCATCTCAAGCTTCTCTGTTTTTGTTCTTCTTGAATCCTGTTTTGACATTTATCCTTTTCTCTATCCATCTATTTATCCCTCTACTTTCTGCCTTTGACTCTATTTGTATTCTTTGCTCATCTTCTCTTTTGTTCACTGTCTTGACTTACTTCTATTCACAGACTTACTTGTCTGTCCTTTCACACAACCACTCTTTCCCTCACTCTTGTTTATCATCCACATGTGAATGACTGTTCTGGATTGAACCATTGCAGTCTGGCTTTTCTCTCGCTATGTGGGAGCTTTTCCTATTCCCACAACTCCTGAGCCAACCACTCCCATCTTGACTTCTCCATCAACATCTGTGAAACCAGAGCTACAGGTATGGGAGGAGCCCCTTTCCTATTTTAATGAGATCCCCTTTACCACACCTGACTTTTACATAAGAGCAAGGATGCCAACTATGAAAGTCTTAGTGTCAGGGTCATCACTACTGGCACAAAGATTAAACTAGAAATTCAATCAGGTGTCTGCCTTCCTGCAGTTGCCAGGCTTATGCGATAAAGAGACAACTACAATACAGCAAGCGTTTTTGAAGGGGAAGTCAACTATAGGGATAATATAGAGAGGGTAGACAGTTTTGGAGAAAGTTCCACATGAACTGAATTATTCGGGATCTTTAGGAGTGACCCAGATATATGGTGAGTGAAATGTTACTGGAAGGGAGCATACCATTAAGCAAAGGTCAGTGACCAGTAACTGCAGAGTATGGTGGAAAATGGAGAGGAATTTGGTTTCCATGTAGCATAAAGCTCAGTTCTTCATAAGTACAGCCTCTGTAGTTCCAGTTCGGGACCTATAAGTCATGGTTATAGGTTCAAAAGGAATAATTAAGAATGAAGGGTCACCAGAAACCAAGCTGGAACAATCCTTGAATGCCAAATCAAGAGCAATGAACTTGAAACTGAAAGTCCACAAGGAGCCATAGGTGCTATAGCTGTGATGTTCCTAGTTAGATTTTCTTTTCAGTACAATTCTTCTAGGGGTCAGCATAGAAAAGATCTATTAGACAGGACATGCAATGAGTCTGCTGCTATGATATTCTGAACACTCTTATCTCTATGATAAGACCTGAGCTGGGATGGAGAAGGAAAGAGAAGTGAGGAATATTCAGAAAAGGAAATTAATTTGTCACAGAAGGGTGAAGTCCACGTTCTGATTTGGATGCACACATTGGCAGGTGGTTAGACACTGAACAAAATGACTTGAAGAGTATAGGATTCCAGTTTGGTCCTAGGCCAACACTCACATGTAGTTTTCTTTCTCCTGTCTTTCTGCAGCTATGGGGCACCACCTGAAGACGTTTGCAGTCAACTTCACCATCTCCAACCTCCCATATTCAGCAGACATGAAGGATTCAGCCATGTTTAACTCCACTGAGAGGGTCCTACAGCACCTGGTGAGACCTTCATCCTGACAACTTCTACTAGGACAAATGACCTCCCCATGTCTTCCACACAATTCCTTTGTGTCTTCTCTTCCTCTTTTCTCCCCAGCTTGGACCTTTGTTTCAGAATGTCTCTTTGGACACAGGTTGCAGACTGATGTCTCTCAGGTGAGTTCACTTTCTAGTCATTTTCTAAGACTGACCATCCTTTATTGTGATGCTTTTTCTTGTCTATTCTTCCTTGGGGTTCCTGTCCACATTAAGACTGTTCCAGAGTCTCTAATACCCCTTTCTCTCAAGGCCTAAGAAGAATGGAACAGCTACTGGTGTGTATGTTGTTTGCACCTACCGACAGGATTCTGCATTTCCTGTGCTGGACACACAGGGGCTGTACTCAGAGCTGAGCCATCTGACCCATGGAGTTACCCAACTGGGCAACTATAGACTGGATCAGGGCAGTCTCTATGTCAATGGTGAGTATGGTCTATAGTTTGCTGTAGGGTGTTCCTAGCCATCCTTACTTTTTCTACACTATCTAGTGTTATCGGTGGTCTCTGTATGAACTAGGTAGTTAGTGTTTCATGGTATCTTGTTCAAACAATCAAAGAAACACACACAAATAGCTTGGCAGGGGAGGTATGGTTGCTGGTCACATTGTGTCCAAAGTCAGGAGGAAGAGAGATATGAATGCTGGTACTCAACTCATTTTCTCCTTATTCAGTCCAGGACCCTAGCTGATAGCACAGTTCTGCCCATATGTGCCCCACTGCAAACTTCTGTGAGGCACAGACTGTTTTTTCAGCACTGTATTCTTTAAGTGGAAATCGGTTATCACATAAAGTAAGTACTCAAACATCTACCGGGCAGACAGAAGAACAGTAGAAGGGAAGATGATGGTATATGTGGGGACATGTAAACGGGGAGTGAGGCGTGAAGATAAGATGCATGAAAGCCTCTACAGCATGCATGCTGGAGACGTGGTAGGGAAGAGTTAGATCTATTCGAAATATCAGGACTTCCTTGTTCATGATGATATTTTTGTCAGATCTTACAACATGAATAGATGCTCAATATGATTATGCAAGGACATGAATACCACACAAACCAAGGCATGTTGTGAGGGACTTTGTTATCTCTTCTCCTTGTGTGTATCTTTTATTTTCTAGGTTATACTGGACCTGCTCCAGAAAAGCCTCTTATAAGTACGTATCAATTCAACCAATCTAAGACTTGGTCCAATGGTTTTCTCTTCATTTAAAAAGGAGGCTTGTCCCAAACATGAGCCAGTCTCCTGAGAGGGGCCAAATGGAATCAAGATACATTTTAGACAAAATCACTTAATTTGCCTATTTCGAATAGATCTAACTCTTCCCTACCACGTCTCCAGCATGCATGCTGTAGAGGCTTTCATGCATCTTATCTTCACGCCTCACTCCCCGTTTACATGTCCCCACATATACCATCATCTTCCCTTCTACTGTTCTGTCTGTCTGGTAGGTGTTTGAGTACTTTATGTGATAACCGATTTCCAGTTGGCTTCTTTTTGGAACTGCATCGCTAGTGTTAGATTTCTGAATTTCCAGTACTCTGAGTTGGAGGAAGAGATCTGAACAAGTGTTCCCCACAGAGTTATGCAGTTGAGTTAAAATGGTGACTGTCTCCTAAAACAAATAAAATGCTCCTATCAGAGGCTTCATTGTCAAGTTGCAAATTCTAATGGCCAATTAAGTGGTTTTGTCTAAAATATCCAAGTGGTCCACTCCTTTCTCCCCAGCCATCCATTCTTCCATTTTCCTAATTGTTCCACTTTCAACACTACATTTCCATCCATCCACCCATGCATCCACACATCCCTCCACCTGCCGGCCCACACACCCATTTTTGCCCATTCTACTGTATTTCCTTCATTCCCTCTGTTGTTTTGTCCTCCATTCGTTTTTCTATACACTTATCTACCTTCCCCCTCCCCACATCCAACCACCTATACTTTGGCCCATTTGCCTGCTTGTTCTTTATTTGTCCTTCCTCTGTCTACCAATACATACACCTACTTTTCCAACCAACTAGCTAGCTAGACAGCCACACACCTACCCATATATACACCCATCTAACCACCTGTCCATCCATATATCTACCCTCTTACACATTGGTTAATCCATCCACCCACTTTCTTCTGTCCATTTGCCTGCTTGGAATTAGTTCTATCTTCCTCTGTGTAACCATCTTCCCTCTCACTCACTAGCCCATCACCGTCTTCATTCACTCACCTGTCTTCCCTTCCTTGTCATCTTGCTCTATCTCTCTGCCTTCTTTGTTTTTATTCTGGAATTTATTTGGATCACCTATTTGCATTTTTTCCTTCAGCCTATGCACTTACCACTTCCATTCTCTGTCTTCCCATTCATCTGGCCTCTTTGTTTACCTTTTCCTGCTATCCACTTTTACTTAATTTTATTCAAAGACTAATTCACACCTTTACTCATACAAACACCCATTCCTTTACTCTTGCTTACAATTCACCTGTGAATAGTTTTCCTGGCTTGGACCATTTATAGAAGGGTTTCTGTCACTATGTGGTATCTCTGTCCATGCCTGATAACATCCCTTTCCACAGCTCCTGAGTCAGCCACGACATCTACATCATCATCTGTGCAGCCAGAACTCACAACAGGTATTTCTAAGGCTCCTTTTCCTAGCCTAGATGAGTGTTCCTGTCCCATACCTCCACCAGTCCTCCATATAAAGCTAGGAAGCCAAGATATGAAGATCTGAGTGTCAAGGTCATCATTACATCCACATAGATCAGACTAACAATTCAATCAGATACCTACCCTCATGCAACCACTAGGCTTCTTAGATAACATATTTATAATACAGTGAGGGATTTTGGTAGGCATAGGGGAGAGTCACATGGCATAAAATGTAGATAGGAGAAGACTTTTTGAAGAAAGTTCCAGCTGAACTGAACGTCTCTGGATGTGTAGAAGTGACCAATATAAATAGGGCAGGAAGTGTTGCTGTGAATATTTCATCATCAAGGCCTTAGTGGCCAGCAAAAGCATAGTATATTAGGAAGATGGAGAGGAATTTGGCTTACCTAAAGCATAAAGCTCAGCTTCCAGTCAGCCACTGTATGTCTGGATTATGACCAATGGGGTTATACTGGCAAGTTCAGAATGGAAAATAACATATGCTAAAATGGTTATCAGAAACCAGATTGGAAAGGGCCTTGAAAGCCAGATCAAGAAGCTTCAACTTAGAGTTAAGGATAACTGGCTCAAAGAATAAAATGCTTGCCACACAAGCATGAGAACTAGAGTTTGAATGGTCATCACCCATGAAAATAAAAGGTAGCATGGCAGCTTACCTGTAATTCTAGTACTTGGGAGACCAGGACAGAGGGGCTCCAGAGACAGCTGGCCAGCCTGCTGAGCCAATACTGTGAGCTTTGGTTTCAATGAGATATTTATATATAAAGCATATAATATATAATGTAGAAAAGAATTAAGGAAGACACCTGGCTTTAGGCCCTATCTCCACATGCATACACACACACATTCCCCCCATACCCCCCCCACACATGTGCCTACATGCATACCACATATATACACTTGGAAAAAAAATCACAATAAAAGAAGTTTGAATTTAACTTTGAAAGTCTACAAGAAGCCATGGGTGATCCTGAAGTTGGGGTAGTCTTAGTGAGGTTTTTCATTTCAAAAAGTTCCTACTAGTGTTCTAAGTAGATAATATCTGTCCATTAGAGAAGACATGAACTAGGGTATTAGTCTAGTTACGAGAATATGAGACCTGAGCTGTGATGGGGAAGCAGACAGGATACATGTGAAGAACACTCAGAAAAGGAAGTCAGTGTGACGTGATGTGAGGAGATGCTTGGGTTCTGACATGGATGGGGATATTGTAGGTGGTTGCACACCTGGAGAGGAGATGACCCAATGAGTGCAGAATTCCAGTCTGCTCCCAGGCAAACTATAAATTGTAATCATTTCTCCTCATCTCTCCCTGCAGCCGTGGGACACCTGAAGATCTTCACACTCAACTTCACCATCTCCAACCTCCCATACTCAACAAGCATGAGCAGTGGCTCAGTCATGTTCAACTCTACTGAGAGGGTCCTGCAGCACCTGGTGAGATCCTACTCTCCACAGCCCTTGGTGGCATACATCCCATCTATCTACTTTATTTAACTCTAGTTTCCCTCCTCCTTCTTCTCTAGCTTACACCCTTGTTCCAGAATGCTTCCTTGGACTCAGGTTGCAGACTGAATTCCCTCAAGTAAGTCTACTTTCTGTAAATTGTCCAGGACTGACCATCCCTTAGTTACCTTCTGCTTGCTTCGCCTTGGGGCTCCTGCCCACATTAAAACCTCCAAAGAGTCTCTATATCCCTCTCTCTCCAGGCCTAAGAAGAATGGAACAGCCACTGGTGTGCATGCTGTCTGCACCTACCATGCTAACCCTGCAGGTCCTGTGCTGAATACAAAGGGACTATACTCAGAGGTGAGCCACCTGACCGATGGAGTCACCCAGCTGGGCAGCTACACACTGGATCAGAACAGTCTTTATATCAATGGTGAGTGTGATCTGTACTTTGCTGTGGGGTATCTCCAGGCATATCTTTTATTAGTTTCTAGGTCTCCAAAAGTTACTGGTCGTCTCTCTCTGATCTGAGTATTTCTACATTTTTGACATCTTTTCAATGAATTTAAGAAGCACGCACAAATAGTTAAGCAGCAAGGGTTTTTATTCAAAAGCAAACAAAATTACAGAACAGATACACTGCAAGAGGCAAGGGAATGGGAGTGCAATTTGCTCAAGAGCTTTGTATTACTATTTCTCAGGGCCCCTTTCTGTGGGTCCAGGGGCAGGGGGCAGAGCTGGTTGCTGGAAGTAGCTTTCTTTTTGGTTGATATGTGGTCACTATATATTGTAACCTTTACTTACTTTTTATGTCCTTTTCCATGATGCATCTGACTTCAATCATTTGTATCCCTATTCATGCATAGGTATAAGATGGTAAATTGGGGATTTTCCCTAAAAGTACACACAGAGGACACAATTTACCTTACTGCGCTTACATGTAAAACCAGTTCAGGCTGAACTGGTATACTCCTCTAGTTCCAGGATGTGTTTGACCACAAAAGGGTAAAGTGACTTGTTACTTTGTTTTGAGAGGCATCTGTTTATAGTACAATGCAAATGGGGTCCCAGATTGCTAAATTATTCATACAAATGGTGTGCTGCACTAACAACTTTCTCCCCCCTCCCCCATTCCTCCCTCCTTCTTTCTCTGTCTGCTTTTCTCCTTCCTTTACTTTCTCTCTCTCTCTCTCTCTCTCTCTCTCTCTCTCTAGGTTACACCCTCCAGACTGCAGGAACCACCCCCAGTGGTGAGTAATCCACCCCCAAACCTCCCTTCCCTACACTCAATCAAAAGAACCAATAGTCCATGTCCACATCTCTAAATACTGGGGTGGGAAGGAGCTAGAAACATAAGCTGAGGTGCCGTGGCAATAAAAGAAGCTGTGAATATCCTCTGTACTGTTGGCAGGACATGAAGAAATGGTCACTAAATGCTAGATGGGTGGCCAGAGATGGCGGTGCACACTTTCAGTCCTAGCTACTTAGGGAGATTATTTGAACTTACCTTAAAGGAGATAAGAAATAGTTTATTCTATAACCTTCTATGAGTGACCATGGCCTGAGAACACAGACTCAGGTGATCACAAATTCCATGTTCCTAGGGGTAGCAGTTTCATTGTTTTTTTTTTTTTTTGTATATTTTTCATTGACTTTTTGTGTATTCCATACATAGCATTTTAACCATTATACCCCCCTTCCCCATCAGCACCCTCCCATAGTCCCTTCATGCATTCTGTCATTTGTGTTAAGGCCTATCAAGTAAAGTTAGTGTCTCCAGATGTCTCTCAGTGCAAGGTCATCCACGGGGGTCTAGTGAGCCTACCCTTAAAGATCAGCTCTTCCTTACTCAGCAGTAATCAGCTGCCCAATAGTTCTTCTGCCAAGATTGGGACCTGCTGCCCATTCATTCAGTTTTTATAGTAACAGAACAAAGAAAAATCATAAATCAAGACACTTTCAAGTACATTGATGGAAACATTAAGTAGGTGGTTATAGCAGAAGAGAAATCTCAGCTATAGGCTTCACATGCTATCTGATGAAACTTGGCATTTTGGTTGGTGGGAGCTAGGACTTTGTTAATACATTCAAAAAGGTAAGGTTTTTATCTGTTCTGTTAGTCACAGGAACTTAAGTCAGATACAGAGGTTGGCAAGGAGTTGCTATTTAGAGGGCTTAACATGGCCCAATAAAAATTAAGCTCTGGACCTATAACATTCCAAACTCTCCATAATCATTGACGTGCTAATCAGTTGAGCAGCCTAGCAGTAGGTTCAGTTGAAGATGTAATTTGGGGAACTGGAGAGATGACTCGATGGTTAAAAGCACTGACTGCTCTTACAGAGGACCCATGTTCAATTCCCAGTACCCACATGGTGGCTAACAACTATTCATAACTCCAGTTCCTGGGGCTCTGATGCCCTCATCTGACCTCCTTGGGAATTACATGACACATGACATGAGTACATTTAAATTCATTCAGGCAATATACTTATACAAATAAAATAAAAATAATAAATAAAATAGGTTGGTTTGGTAGATTTATAGAAAGTGCTGTATGTAAGAATGCCAAACCTCTATGCTATGGACTGGCACTGCCTCTTCACCAACAGTAATGGGTTGTTCTGAATTTGGATTTACAATGAGTATTATATATCCTTATTCAAAATCCTTTTCTCTATGAAACAAAGTCATCCCATAGCCTGGTTGTAGAATAATACCTTTTGGTCACAATGACACAGGGGAAAAAATGGGGTCCCCTCAAGGTCCCTTGGTCTTATTCATAAAAGAATTTAAGAGTGGACTCAAATAGAAGCTTTAAGACAATTTTATTAGAATTTAAGGGGAAATCCTCAGGACAGGCAAGGCTGCTTTGAGAAGGAGAATGGAGGGGAAAAGGAAAAAAAGAAAAACCATAAAGCCACACAGGTTTAGAGCTGGCATGGAGATCAGACATGTGGCAGTCTGGTAGCCATGTGGTAGGGAGGAAAAAAGAGCTTTTTTATATAGACAGTAATGAAATCCAAGATGTTGGGGAAGCTCAGTGCACTAGGAAAGATGCTTAGAAAATAGATATGAAGAGGAATAGGAGAGGTTACACTTTTCTGATAAATTCAGAAAACTGGACAGACTGTGACTGGCAGGATCCACCAGGACTGCACTAAGAGCAGGGATTCTGGGCAGGAAAATATCTGCATCTCATTAACACAGTAGGTATTCCTCCAATTTCTTTAATATAACTTGAGGTGAACCAGTCCTCCTAGGGGTGGTTTCAAAACCAGGGGATTTGGCAAAACTGGAAAGTTGGGACTTTATCCATGCCAGAGATTCTTAGACTCTTGACCATTTTTTGAGGGGGTTTCCTACCACTACAACAAGGAGGGCAGATAAACAGCATGAAATTTTTTGGCCAAATGAATGTCATAAATTTTAGACTGTTAAGTTCACTTTTTCTTTACTTTTACCTTCCTGCTTTATTGAGATACAACTGACAAGTAAAATTCTATGAATTTAAAATTATCATAGTGATAGTTTGACATATGCACAGCTTATGAAATGATTTACCACAATCTAATTAACACATACATCACTGCACATAGCTAGAGAAAGAGAGAGAGAAAGAGAGAGAGAGAGAGAGAGAGAGAGAGAGAGAGAGAGAGAGAGAGAGAGAAGACAGAGGGAACATTTAAAATCTTCTTTCTGAGCTGGACATAGTGACTGATGCCTATAATCTGAGCACTCAGGAGGCTGAGGAAGGAGGATTGTCACTAGTTCAAGACCAGCTTGTGCTACATAGTAAATAGAAAATCCTCTCTTAGAAAATTTTAGTCATACATATGAAAGATGAAGGAGCAAAGGAGGAAGGGAAGAAGGTAAGAAAGAGTAGTTAGGTAAATATGATCAAATATCTTACATTCATTTATGAAAATGTCAAAGTGAAGCCACTAACTGTATAATTGATGTATGCTAAAAATTGCAAGCACATACTATTAATAGATTTCTAGAACTTCATCTTATAATAAAACCCTTGTATCTTTAAATTTTCTTTCTTCTTCATTACATTAATTTTAAAATGACACATGAATACATAAAAATTGTGCCAACATGTTTATGGTTTAATGTATGTTTCTATGCATTTTGCCTTTGTGAATGTTTAAATCGGGTTAAGCACATCTATATTCTGATTTTCGTTTCTTTATAGTAAAGGCCCTTCCGTCTTTCTGAAGTGTACGGTACAATACCATTGTCTGCAGTCACCCTACTGTGTAACACCAGAGCTCCTTCCTCCCATATAACTGCAGCTTACCCTGGTTGACCGACCTTCCCCCAACCTCCTTCTCGCCTTCATTCTCCATAGCCTTTGGTCACCCCCAGTGTACTCTCAACTTATATGAGATCAACTCTTACTTTTCCATTAGTTTTAATTTTATTTTTTAGAATTTTCTATTATACAAAAGTTTCTATATATTGTAGATTGCATATTTTGCCCCGCTCTGTTACCCTCTATTGTTTCTCCTTGATCCTGTTAGTCTCCTTTGTTCTCCTAAACAATTATACTCTTCTTTTATTTATTATGTACATACATGATTTTATGTGACTATATAAAATCTAAGAACCACAAATAAAAGAAAACATGGTATTTATCTTTCTGAGACTGGCTTAATTTGCCTACTATGACTATGAGATCAATTCTTGTTAAATTCCAAATACAAATGAGATGTGGTCTGTGTCATCAAGTGCCTGGCTTGTAATGCTTTTCAATTGTCCATATTATGCAAATTAGAGGAGTTCATCCTTTTTCTATGAGTAAACATCATTCCCTTGTGCATGCAGACCGTAGTTCCTTTATTCATTCATTGGTTGAGAGACACTTCAGTTGAGAAACTTTATGATTTGGATCAATAACTTCCCATTTTCGACATACACACACACACACACACAGATGCAGACACACACACATACACACACACACACACACACACACACACACACACGTCTCTAATAACTACTCTTCTTCCTGGATGAGCCTTCCAGGATGTCAGAACTGAATAAGCAAAGAGAGAAAATATCAGAGATCATGAGAAAAAAAGGCCAGTCTTCCCCATTCTTTAGGATAACTTTGCACCCTCTCTATCCCCAACATACAGGTTTACTTTATGTTGAATCTGGTAGTAGGCAGGGTGTTCTAAGGAACTCCAGTCCTATCCAAAGAGCTAAGGGTCCCCATCTGTCTTTTCTTTCTCTGTGACTGTAGGCTATGTACTCCAGAATGTAACCATCCATGCCAAGTACCAGCTAAACTTCTGTATCATCAATTGGAACCTCAGCAATCCAGACCCAACATCTGCAGAATATATTGCTCTAGAAAGGGACATCGAAGACAAGGTGAACTTACTTTCCCCTTTTGCTTCTCTCCCTTCCATAAGTATCCTTATCACCACTCCCTCTGACTTATATCATCTAAGAGATTATTTCATCTTTTTGCTTTGCCTATGAGTTCTGACTTCTCTAATATTTACAAAGGTGGTGGTGTCCCAGGCTTACCCATTTACCAGGAGAACAAACTGAGGCTCATCAAAGAGCATTATGGGAACCGGAGAAATGGCTCAGAGAGAATACTTGCTAGGCAAAACTTAGCTACCTAGGTTTGATTCCTGAACCCAACATAAGGGTATAAGGAAAGAAGTGATTCCATAAAATTGTCATATGTCCTCCACATATATGCCATGGCACCCATGCCCCCCCATCATACACACATGGTAATAATAAATAAAATGTTTTTAAAATACTTTATTTTGTTATTTTTATTTTATGTGTATTGCCGACATGCATGTAAGTGTACCCATGTCATGCAATGCCTACAGAGATCAGAAAAGGGTATTATATTCCCTGAAACTGAAGTTACTAATGGTTGTTAGCCACTATGTGGTTGCTGGGAATCGAACCCTCGTCCTCTGCAAGAGGAGACAATGTTCTTAACCACAGAGCCATCTCTCCAGCCACCTAAAATGTTTTCTAAAGGAAGCATTATGTTAACTTTCTGTTACTGTGATGAAACACCTGAAATAACCATTACAGAAGGAAAGATTTCTCTGACTCATGGTTTCATGGTCAGCTAGCTCCATTACTTTGAGCCTGAGGTGAGAAAGAACATACGGTGGCAGGAGTATGCAGAGGACAGGTCTGCTCACCACATGTTGCCCAGAAAGCAAGGAAAAGAGAAGAGGCAGGGACAAGATTTCCCATTCTGGGAACAGCCCCAATGAATTATCTCTTTCAAGTAGGTAGGCCCCATCCTTTACAGTTTCCACCACCTCCCTTTAACTATGAGGCTATCAGTGTCTCAATCCATCAAGAGGTCGGAGCTTTTTAATTTTTTGTATTTATTGAAAATTTGATACAGGTATACAATATGGCTTTGTCTTATCCATCCTCCTCCTTCCAGTCCCCACAGTTGTCCAAACATCTCCCATGTCTCTTCTACTTCATTTCTTTCTTTTTTTTTGGTAACCCACTGAGTTTAATTAATGCTGCCCATATATGCATGTGTATGGGGTCATCCACTGGAGACTGGACAACCTACCAATAGTTGCCATATCCTAAAGAAAAGTGTTTTCCTTCCCTCAGCCGCTATCACCTGCCATTAACTCCTCAGCTAGAGTGGGGCACTGGGAGCTCCCCCTCCCTCCATGCTGTATTTTTTTTAAAGTCTCTTGATCTTATGGAGATTTTGTGCAGGAAACCATAGCTTTTTCTAAGTTTCTATGTACATGTCATGCCCAGAGGTCAGCCTTTCACAGCACTCTTCCCTATCTTTCAACTTTTATAGTCTTTCCATTTCTTCTTCCACGATGTTCCTTGAGCCTTGGGGTTGGGGCGGGGGGGGGGGGCTGATAAAGATGGTCCATTACAGCAGAGCACTCACAATAACTTACTCTCAACATTTTGAACGGTTCTAAGTCTCTGCAATAGCTGCTTTCCACTAGAATGAGAGGGTTCTCAAGGTCACAGCTCTTATTATCCCATTTTTGAACAAGGCTGTGCCAGAGACAAAGTTGTCAACACACAACCCCCTGGGGACATCTTGGATTCATGTCATAGCAGGAATAGTGTACTTAGCTAAAAATCTTACAAGTTTTTAGAATTAGAGCTAAGCTATGATTTGAATTGAGGTCTCCTTTGTCCCCAAGCCTATGTTCTTTCAACAATTTCCAGTGACCCCCTCCACCCACAAATGACTTCTATCTCACCAACCTCTCTATTCTTTCTAGGTTACCAAACTCTACACAGGGAGCCAGTTTCAAGAAGTATTCCAGTCTTGCCTGGTCACTAACTTAACGTAAGTTCTAAGGGTTGGAAACACTGTCTGAGTTGGACTTACACTTGTGTGACACCATTCCTGGGAAGACCTGAACAAACAATCTACTCACCCCAGTTAGGGAACCATTGACAGACCAATCCCACTGAAGTCTAGCTCAGTGAAACAATGACTTTTACTGGGGTTACTAACAGGAGTATGAGTGAGGAGCAGAAATGACTCAAAGACAGATGCGTCATGAAAATCCCATGCCAGTGTAGGTGACAGCTCACAAAAGCAGAAGCACGTTGTACAACATGCAGGCAGCTCGACAATTTGGAGAGTAACCTTTCCAGGTAGCCTTGTTGATCTGAGCTTCTTCCAGGCAGCTCAGCAGGGTTCTGTTTCTTCCAGGCAGCTTCTTTCAGGTAACTTGGCTGATCTGAGAGGGTCTCTCAGCAGCCGTTGAGGAGGGAGGGACCTAGGGAACCTGGTCAATCTCAGAAACTTCCTTCAGCTATTGAGTTGTTTACTTGCTTTTCAAACATCTTGTATATCTCACTTTACAACATCCCGTTGTTTATCTCCGTTTAGAACAATTTTTTCTTAACCAGCTACTCTCCAAAACGGAAAGATTTATCATGGATTAACAGCACTTCTACAGTGCATCCTTAAGCTAGAATGGACAGTACATTGCCCATTCTTCCTCACACACTGGTCAGTTATATCTGTGAGGACTGGATACATGGAGGAGGCAACTTTTTGACATTGAACTGAAAGCATAAACATGCTAACCACAGTTACCATGGACCAACCTCCCTAAAGAACACTTCCGTGCATGATTGTCCCATTAGTTCTCTCTTCTGTCCCTGTGATGTGAGGTGGGCACAATGATTAGATGGGGAACCTAATCCTCAAATGAATTTTCTGAGGACTCTCAATGTGAGATTTGGACTTGTCTCTATAGACTTAGAGAAGAAACAAAGACTAGAGAAACAGAAGGTCACTAAACATTGGGATTACAGTATTTCCAAAGTTCAGTACTTTTTGCATTTATTTTTATCTATTTATCTATTTATTTTGTGAGTATATGCATATATAAGTGTGTATGTGTCTATGTATGAGTGTATATTTGTGCATTTGTGTGTGTGAATGTGGTATATGTGAATCGGACTTTCACATGTTTGCAGGTACATATCCACATGCAAAGACCAGAGAAAGACATCAGCTATCCTGCTGTATTACTCTCCACCTTACTGCCTTGATGAGTCAGGGTCTCTCTCTGAAGCTGGAATTTGACTGTCAGATAGCATATCCCAGTGATTCTCCTATCTTCACCCCCATACTGCTGGGGTTACAGGAATGTGCAAAGCCATGCTTAAGCTTTTCATGTGGGTGTTGATGTCAGAATTCAGGTCCCAATGTTTGTGTAGCAAGTGCTCTTATCCACTGAGCCATCTCCCTAGCCCCATGGTATTTAACATGGAGATAATCAGTAGTACCTTCTACCAGAGAATAGAAGTCAATTTTTAAGGGTCTTGATATGCATCAAACATTTAATATATTGTTGTTGCTACCGAACTTGTTCTTGGCTTAATTTCTGAATCATGGTCAGGAACCTTTTGATTAGGGTCTCTTCTCAATATTGGGGGGGAGGGGCACTGAGGAAGCTAGATAAGCACCACTTCCTGTTCCTAGGTGTTTGGGCCTTTAAACATGGAAACTTCAACTACTTGTAGCATTGACTACTATCTGAATTCTTGTGTTCTCTGTTCCTAGGTCTGGCTCCCTGATAGTTACTATGAAGGCATTTTTCTCCTCTCATCTGGAACCCAACCTTGTGAAGCAAGTCTTTCTAAATAAGACTTTGAATGCCTCCTCCCACTGGTTGGGTGGCACCTACCAGCTGATGGATCTGCAAGTGATAGGTAGTAGTACAAGTAGTGCAAGATGGCAGTAGCTGGTTTCATAAGTAGAAGAGCTAAAAATGAAAGATAGGGCTTCTGAGTAGTAGACAGTACACAGAGGTTTTGGAAAGAAAGGGGACTTTCTGGAACCCCATGTTGGCTCCTGGCCATGATGTGTCCAAAGGAAGCAAGAAGAGACTATGAAGTAAATACACCCAGGCAATTTTATTTGCATATAAATGTTCTGTGTGTGGTGTACCTGTGTGTAAAGGGAAGAGACTGACGTCAGTTGTCTTCCTTTATTGCTCTCCATCTTTTTGTGGAGACAAAGTCTCTCACTGAATCTGGAGCTCACTAATTCAGCCACACTAGCTAGCCAGCAAGAAGCAGCAACCTAGGGCTGGAGAGATGGCTCAGGGCTTAAGAGCACAGGGTGCTTTCCCAGAGGCCCTTGGTTCAGTTCTCAGGACCCAAATGGCGACTAGCAACCATCTGTAACTCCAGTTCAAAGAGATCCTGTGACCTCTTCTGACCCTTGTGGGTATGCTCAACAGGGGTGCACTTACATACATGTAGGCAAAACACTAATACAATAAAATTAAAAATAAATAAAAATTTTAAAAAAGAAGCAGCAATCACAATGTCTCCTCCTCCCCAGGGCTAAGACTATAGGTGCATGTTACCACACCCATATTTTAATATATTTTATTAATTCTTTGAAAATTCCATATGTGCATACAACATATTTTTAAAAATATTTTATTTTTAAAAAATATTTTGTTTTTATTATTTTTATTTTATGTGCATGAGTGTTTTGCCTGCATGTAGGCAAGTGCAGCTGGGCCATGCAATGGCCACAGAGATCAGAAGAGGCTGTCGGATCCCCTGGAACTGGAGCAACAGACAGTTGTTAGCTGCTGTGTGGGTGCTGGGATTCGAACCTGGGTCTTCTGCAAGGACAGTGTTCTTAACCGCCGAGCCATCTCTCTAGTCCCATACAAGGTGTTTTTATCATATTCACTCCCACTGCCACCTCTAACTCCTTCCTGATCCACACCCAACCTTCCCACTGCATTCCAACTTCTTGTCCTCTTTTATTTTTGTAGATCACCAAGTCTAATTTGCCCACATATTCACAGGTGTGGGGCCATCCACTTGAGTATTGTGGACTTACCAGGGACCTTACCATACTCTTAAAACTGACTCTTCCTCCCCCAGAAGCCGTCAACTGTCAGTAGTTCCTCAGCTAGTGGTCGAGGTTCATAGCACCTCTTCCCACCATGCTGGAAAGTTGACTGGTATGATCTTGTTCAGGTAACCACAGTTGCTGTGAGTAAACAAATGCAGTGATCTTGTCATGTCCAGAAGACACTGTTTTGCTTCGGTCTTTCCTAACTCTGGCTCATAATCTTTCTTCCTCCTCTTCCACAATGGTCCCTGAGCCATGAAAAGAGAGGTGTTTGATATAAATGTCCAGTTTGTGACTGAGCATTCCAGACACTTATTCTCTCCACTTTGATCAGTTGTGAGTTTCTGTGTCAACCACTATCCACTACACAAAGAAATTTCTCTGATGAAGTCTCAGATCTGCACTAATCTATGGGTATAGAGATATTAATTTGGAAGACAATTTTGATACTGTGAACATTTAGTGGAATAATAATAGTAAGTTCATCCCTCCCAGCTTTTGATGTGCTTGCTGGTTATTCAACTCATGACCTTATGCTTGTGAAGTGAGCTCTTCACTAACTGAGCCATCTCCTCAGCCCCCTACATGTAAACTTGTCCAGCTCAAGATGTGGAGGATCTTGAGTTGCCTTCTTGAGTTCCTGCTACAGTAATATATTGAAATGTAATGAAAGTAAAACACACACTTTCCCTTGATACAGACGTTTTACATACTTCTTTTTTCAGACATGAAGCCATCCATCCGTCCACCAACAGAAATACCAACAGTCATCTCCAGCTTCCAGCATTTCCACCTGAACTTCACTGTCACCAACCTACCCTATTCCCAGGACATAGCCCAGCCAGGCACCACCAAACACCGGCAGAACAAAAGAAGTATTGAATATGCGGTGAGAATAGCGTCACGAGTGTACTCTGCTCCCAGACAGAGATTTACTTGTGGGCACTGGGTAGTTAGAAAGTAATTCATTAGGAGGTCCTCGAGACAGATTCTTATACCCATTCATAAATTAAGAAAAACACAAAGTCAGACTCACCAAGGGTGCCACAGCTGTCACACCCTAGAACAAGACATTCTTTGGTACGTTTGCTTGGGCAACTGTCAGTGAAAAATTGTATCCAGAAATCTACTCTGTGGCTGTAAAGTTTCTTACATAATGGAGTCTGGGGTTCTGATATAGGAACGTTACCCTGTCTTTCAGCTCAACCAGCTTTTCCGAAACAGCAGCATCAAGAATTACTTTTCTGACTGTCAAGTTTTAGCATTCAGGTGAGTGCCAACTTAGGACACACGATCCTGGAAACTTTTTGTTCTGGAGCTTGGATCCTCCTACTTCCATTTCTGAGTGGAGTGCTGGAATTACAGGCATGCATCAGTGTCACTGGGCCTGGTTGACATGGTGCTGGGAATGCAATCCAGGGCTTCTTACATTTTCTTATGGATGTATGAAATCTCTTTACAATATATTCATCCTTCTCCAGGAATAATGCTGCCCAAAGAAGCTAGGGTGCTGCATTGTCCTCTAGTGACCACATCAGGAACAACAGTTAGATGGGGATATAAAAGTGTTAGGCAAATGTCTCAGTAGGTAAAATGCTTACCCTATAAGCATAATGACCTGGGTTTGGAGCCCAAGAACCCATATAAAAAACTGGGTGTGGCCACATGTTCCTGTGACCCTTGTGCTGGGGCTGGGGCCAAAGACAGTATGATTGCTTTGCCATAATTTCTTTGTTCCAATTCTTAGTTGTTAAGGAAGAGAGCCCTAGGAATATACAATTGTTACCTAGAAACCAGCTTCCTCCTAAAGCAGGGAGATCAACTAGCTTCGAAACTTAGCTGAGTTTGTCAAGCCTCTGAAGACATGGAGGTGCTTGGTATGAAGGGTCCTGGACTCACGTGTATAATCCTTGCCTTGAGGAACCAACTACTGTGACTGGAGAGATGGCTCAGCAGTTAAAAACAGTTACTGCTCTCGCAGAGGACTTGGTTCAGTTCCCAGCACCCATATGATGGTTAACAACCATCAGCAACTCCAGTTCCAAGGGATCTGATGCCCTTTCTGGTTTCCATGAGTATCGCATGCACTTGTACTTACATGCAGGCAAAACATTCATACATAAAATCAAAATAAATAAATCAACCAAGAAAAGTACCCAACTGCTGCAAAAATATACACTTGCATACAAGTTAGCAACTTCAAACAAGCGACCTTTTATTTGACTTTGACTTGATTTTTTTTTTTTTTTGTTTTAAGATTTTACAATTTTATTAGAATCTTAGAGAAAACTCCTCAGGGCGGGCGAGCTGGTAATCTTGGCAGCTGCCTTGAGGAGCTGAATGGTGGGAAGAAGGAAAGAAAATCATGAAGCAATGCAGGTTTAGAGCCTGCGTAGAGGTCAGACACATGGCTGACTGGCAGCCAAATGGCTGGGAGAAGGAAGCTTTAGAGAAAAGGTGAAGAAATACAAAATGCTAGGGGCAGCCCAAAGCCTTAAGGAAAGCATGTTTAGTAAGAAAGGCATGAAGAAGAAAAGGAGAAATTACGCTTTCCTGAAGAGTTCAGGAAAGCGGACAGACTTATGGAGACCTACATGGCTGTGGCTGGTCTGGAAGTTTTGCAGGGGTCTAGTTCCAGGCAAGAAAAATTTGCAACTCCATTAACACACCAGGTGTTCCAACCATCTATTTAGCATAACTTAAGGTGCACCTGCCTTCCTAGGAGTGGTCTAATCACCAGGTAATTGACCAGTAAGACTGGAAAAATAGGTCCTCCAATGGATAGACTAGGGATTTTATACTCTAACATTCCCCTCTCTGAAGAGGTAACCCTAAAATCTTTTCGGGATTAGAGCTCCCAAATACGTCTAACATTTTTGGCCTTTGGGACAGAGTACGTTGCTAAAAGGCCCAAGGACATATTGATTTTTAGTTAAGAAAGAAACTGGTTTTCTTTGGGGTCTTTTTACCCTAACTGCTTAGCCAATTTCTCCCTCCTATTCTTATCACACCAACATCTGAAGAGGTTACCCAAATTGCCGATAGGGAATCGGACGCAGACTGCTCTGGCTTCTTTCATGCTGAACAGGGACACAGGGTGAGGCAACTGCGGTACCGCTTTCAGTGGGTCTATCTAAAAGACCCCCAAATTGCATAACTCTCAACTAGAGGGAGGAAAAAAAACTTGACTGGTGCCTAGGAGATGTGAAGGAGAAGTAAAAGGCAAAAGTAGTTAGCATTACAAGTTCTAGACAGGGAACCAAAAAAAGTCAGAACAGGGCAAATTTCAAATGTCCAAATTAAAGTCCACTGGAATTTCTTGACAAGGGCTTCCGAAAGCATCCATCTACTGGGTTCCTCCTCATTTTCCTTCTGTCTCCCTAGGCTGGACTCAAGAGCGATGAACTCAGGATTTGTTTTCAGGCACTTTGATAGCTGTTGGAGTGGTTAGAATCAGTTTTCTTTTAAATGACTTCTAGATAGGGAAAGAAGACATTTAACCACCATTTAATTTTTAGATTAGAAAACAGTAGGGTGTTTGGCTTGAATTTAAACACAAAAAGTTGATTTGTAAATAAGAGGAATATTCCAGAACCACTAAATAGAGCCAGGCACAGAGGCATGTCTTATTCCAGGGAAATCAGAGCTACCTTTTGTGTTGTTAAAAGAATTTTTAAAAGGACGCAGAGGGAAGCTCAAACACTATTAAGAATTTGAGAGATGACTGAGTGGTTGCATAGTCCTTTAATCCCAGAACTTTGGAGGCAGAGGCAGGCAGAACTCTATGAGTTTGAGGCCAACCTGGTCTTCACAGTGAGTTCAAGGCCAGTCAGGTAGTATGATCTTGTCTCAAAAACTAAAAAGAGTTTGAGGGAAAAACAACTTTGCTGGTAAGCTGCAAATCCTGGCAGCTGCTAGAGAAGAAGAAGAAGAAAGTCATGCCTTTTGAGTAAGGAGAGAAAGTGTGCTGGGGGCAGGGCGGGGGTTTTCTTTTTGAGAAACAATATGAAAGTTCAGAATTCAAGGGAAAATGTATGCAGGACTCTGGCATTCAAAGAGCTAGGAAGGAGAAAAGTAATGTTTTGAGTTAGAACTCAGAGAAGTGAGTAGTGGAGAGCTGTAAGCAACTACATGAAAGGAGAGGCTTTGGGGGTATGTATGTCCATTATGTGATTAAGGGAACAATTACTCTTCCCGTCTTCTTTGTACATCTTCAGATCCTGGGCAGCTAATTGACAGGCCCAGTTAGATTAACTCTTAAGGAAGAGGACAATAGGATGTAAAAGTCTAATCTTTGAGACAGACCAGAACGTCATGTCTCCAAACGAGGTCGGAGATAGAACTGAGAGTCATTCTTTTGATCAGAAGGAAGTCGTTTTCCCTTAACAGGCTCTAACAAAGTTCTGATACCTCCACCTTTTCATATAGCATTTTAAACCTTAAGGAGGGTAACTGTGATGTTTCCCTTTGTAGTGTTCATATGAAAACAGGACGTGGGATCCAAAGCTGATTCTGAGGGATGAGTCTATCTTCAGTGGTCTCCAAGCCTGCAGTTGAGTTACAGAAGGCTGAGGCAGGAATATTACAGGTTTAAGACTAAACTAGGTTACACAGTGAAACCCTGTCTCAAATAAAGAAACCATCATTTATCCCAAGATTTTCTTTCCTCATCAGATTAAAATAAACTGCCTTAAAGATCTAAGAGTACTTGGGTCAGTAAAATGGCTCTGCAGGTAATGGTGCTTGCCACAAAGTCCAAGGACATGAGTTCCATCCCCAGGACCCACATGATAGAAGCAGAAAACCAAAGTTGTCCTCTAACCTCCACACAAATGCTGTAGCACAGTAGCATGTGTACAAGGCAACACCTCAGCACAGGCACACACACACGCACACGCACATACACGCACACACACACACACACACGCACACACACACACACATACAAACACAAAGAAATAAAAGTATAGTGAAAAAAGTATAGTTTAAAAATCTCAAGTCTCACCAAAAGTAAAGATCCAGGAGCCCATGGATGGTATCTATAGAGGCCATGTGATGGTGGCTCATTTTTCACTGTACTTCCTTTGTTCCTTCTCCAAGTATTTGAATTCCTAGTTAAATGCATTTTTCATCATTTCTTTGTTTTCTGTTACCAGCGTATATGCTATCTTTTGCTAAATGTCAGCCTATGTAAAGGGGTACAAAAATTATCTGGAAGTTTTTGTGTCTATGAGTGTGTCTGTATGTGTGTATTTGAGACATGGTCTCATGTGGCCCTGGATGGCCTCAAACACACTGTCTTTGAGGTTACTTGCCTCTACCTCCCAAAGGCTATGGCTACATGCATGTGCTACCATGTTTGATTTGTGCGGTGCTGGGGATAGAACACAGGACTTCCTCCAATACTAGGCAAGCATTCTATCAATTGAACTACATCCCCAACCTGGTCTGTGTTTGTGGCAGAAAGAGCATGGTGTCAATTAACAATACACTAAGTGGTCCTTACCCCTTATTGCATATTAATTTGAGACAGGGTCTCCTATAGTCCCAGCTGGCCTGGAACTTGATATGTAGACTAGGCTAGCCTTACTCTCACAGAAATCCATCTGCCACTACCTCCTGAGGACTTGGATTAAGTGTGTACACTATCACACCCGGCTTTTTTACTTTAAAGCATTTTATTCCAAAGTATTTTTATTCTTTGATATTATTGAGAATAAATCTTTTCCTTAATTTCATTTTCAGAATGTTACTAGTATATAGAAATACCATTAATTTTTGTATATTGGTATTATATCCTTCAATTATGAGAATCTCATGAGTTTTAGAAGCATGTGTATATGTTTGTGACTGTACCTCTGTGTCCCATCTGAAAATCTATTTTTATACTTCCTTTTCAATTTTGGTTACTTTGATTTCTTTTTCTTGCCTAACTAAACTCTCAGAACAATGTGAATAACATACAGGGACAAAGCTGACATATTTTACTATTCCTTCTCTCATAGAGAAAGTTTCAGGGCTGGAAAGATGACTCAGTGGTTAAGAACACTGGCTGTTGTTGCAGAAGACCTGATTTTGAATCTCAGCACCCACATGGCAGCTAACAACTATCTAAAACTCTGGTTCCAGGGGATCTGAGGGTCTCTTCTGTCCTCAGCAGGCATTGCATGACATAAGTGCACTTATATACATGCAGGCAATGCATTCATACACATAAAATAAATATAATAAAATATTTTAAAAAGTGAAACTTTCCCATTTTCAGTATTAAGCACAATGTTAGCTATGACTTTGCATAGATTCTCTTTTTCAGATTGAGAAAGTGCCTTTTTAGTTGGTCTGTGCCTGTAGTATTTTTTTCTTTTTAACCATACAAGGGTTATATGATTTATTAAAGTCTCTGTCTCTTTCTCTCTCTCTCTCTCTCTCTCTGTCTCTCTCTCTCTGTCTCTCTCTCTGTCTCTCTCTCTCTCTCTCTCTCTCTCTCTCGTGTGTATGTTGTGTCTTTGATTCTGTTCATATGACATATTGCATTGATCAGTGTTTTTAGATGTAGGCCAATTGTGTAACCAGAGGTGGAAAATTACGGATTTATCAATCTTCTCTTTGTTTTGTGAATGACCTCACACATTGAGAAATTTGTTGTTATTTTTTTCAGTTTTTTGCTTAGTTTCGGTTTATTTCATTTTTCATTTTCTTGGGACCTTTGTAGATCTTCAGAAACACATCTATGATTTCTCAACTTCCCTTATGAACTACTTGCTCTCCAAATTTTTCTTTTAAAGTTTTGGTTCACCTCTGGTTTACTTCAACTGGTATCACTCCCTCAGGCAGTTGAAACATTAAACATGAGAACGGATTGTTTTTAGTGGAATAAGCTCTCCATATTGAGCAAGCTCTGAGTCAGACCACATAAAGACAAATCCTGAGAACAGGGTTTTCTGCAAGGAGCTCTCAGACAGATCCAATGGTGGCAGCTCTTTTCTGGCATATGTGTTTGAGGAGCTCCACACAGGGCTGTGGCCGCTGGGCTGGCGGATTCCACACTACTGTGGTTCTGAGGTTAGTGCTTCTCAAACTTACCAAGGATCTTGTCAGAAGAATATGGAACTAATGCAAAGTGAAATGCAATCAAACTAGCTGTCTTTACCAAGATTCAGCCAGTTTTCTTTTTAAGTTTTGAGAATTGCGTACATGAGTACACCGTATTTACATCATTTCTAGCCATCCCTCCCTTCCACCGTCTTACGTTCTGCCTTACCCCCTCTCAAATTCTTGACCTCTTTTTCTATAATATTTTTTCACACACAAACACATACACACAATCCCTATACCTAAGGCTCAGAGAAGATTGTGGAAGAGGGGGGAAAAGATTATAAGTGCCAGAGCACCCATAAAATCTCAGCAGCATAGTTGCCTGCACATGACCACCCAGTTTTCTTACATCCCTTAGATTTTTCCAGCCTTTGATTAATTCCTAGACTTCTGAAAATATTGACGCTGACAACTTTTCCTAGTGTTTTTATTGTATTTTGGGGATTTTTTTTCAAAAGTCCTTTCTCCAGCATCCCAGAAATGCTCTCTTGGTAACTGTTTGTTTTACAGTAAGTGCATGAAGGAATTATACACCATTCTTTGTTCACGCTAGGAACATTGTCATGTATTTTTATTCATTCTTTGAGACTATCATCCAGGTATACAATGTATTTTGATCAGACCCAGCCCCTGCTGCCCTTTACAACTCTTTTCATACCCACCTCACCACTTATCCCGCCCAACTTAATGTATTCTTTTATTTACACATTGAATCCATTTAGTGCTTCTAGTAAGTGTATGAGTGTAGGACATTCCACTGGAACATGGATGATCTATAATAGACCACAACCCTGAAGAAACCTTACTCTCCCTGCCCTAGCAGCCCTCAACTCCAAATGGCTACTCTGTTAGGGTCCCAGGCTTCATGAGCACTTTCCTTATTAGTGTTGTGTTGATGAGCTTCGTCTGCTGTTGTTGTTTGGTTGGTTGGTTTTGGTCTTTTGAGACAATCTCCCTGTGGTCCCAGCTGAGGTAGAACTCCCTATGTAGATCAGCCTGGCCCCTATCCCACAGATCCACCTGCCTCTGTTTCCCAAGTGCTAGGATTAAAGGTGCGCCATCAAGTTCAGTTTTCACCTGTCAATTTCATATTTTTGTTTGGGAATTTCACTCATGAATTCACAATGCATTTCAATTATATTCACCCCCAGCCTCCTCCTAACTCCACACACCATCCCCTCCCAATTTCATTTTATTATTTATAATCCAAGGAGTCCATATACTCCTGTGTGGGTGGCTATTCATTGCAGTATTGTCAAATACTTAAAACTGATTCTCCCTCACCCAGAAGCCACCTACTGCTCATAGCTCCTCAGTTAAGGCTATGCAGGGGCTTGTAAACCACTCCATCTTGCATGCTAGAATATCGACTGAAGGTCATGTGTAGGCAACCACAGCCACTGTGAGCTCATGAGTACAGCAGTCTGTCATGATAAGACACTGTTTCATCATAACTTTCCCCAACCTCTGGCTCTTAGAATCTTTCTGCCTTCTGTCTCCAAGATGATCCCTGAGCCTTGAGGAGAGGTTATTTGATATAGTCGTCCCCTTTGTGACTGAACACACTGCAAGCGCTCACTTTCTATACTTTGATCAGTTGTATATTTCTGCATTAACCGCCTTTAATTGCATAAAGAATCTCCTCTTATGGGGTCTGAGAGCTGCACTAATCTATGGCTAGAGAAATAAGAACTTAGAAAGCAGTTTGATACTATGAACATTTTATAAAATGTTCATCCCTGGGGCCTATGAGCTGCCCAACCATGGATTCTTGGCCAGATTTATAGTACCCAGCATTTCTTATGGAGTGGGCCTTAAATTCACGCAGAAAGTGGTTGGTTACCCCCATAACATTTGTACCACTACTATACCCATGGCATATCTTGCCATGCTGGTCATTATTGTAGCTCACAGAGTTCCCAGTTGGGTTGTTGGGTATGACTGTTGATGACTTTCTCCCCCAGCAGCCTGCATAGTACCTCAAGTACTAAGAAAGCTAGCCAAAAGAGACAAAGTCAGGACTAACTTGATTTCTCCATGTCCTTTGACCAACGTGTGTCATATCTTTAGCAATAGACTGGATTGCTCTTGTGTAAATCATGTGCAGGCAACCACAGCTGCTGCAAATTCACAAATGCAGTAGCCCTGCCATGTCTGGACAACACTGTTTTGCAACAGTCTTCCCAAGCTCTGGCTCTTAAAATCTTTCTGACCCACTCTGTGATGATCCTTGAGCCTTGGGAGGAGGGGGTGTGATATAGATGTCCCATTTAGGACTGGTCACATTTCTAATTTTCAACAGCAACATGGGACAAGTCATGACTACAGGAAAGTACAGCTGCAGAACATTTATATTGTTAGACAAAGCTCTCCTACACAGAACATAGCAGCAGAGAATCTATAACAGACATCCTTGTTCCTCCTCTGTGTCCTCGTAGGGCTGTCTCGGAGAGCAACCACACTGGGGTGGATTCCCTGTGTAACTTCTCACCATTGGCTCGGCGAGTGGACAAAGTCACTATCTATGAGGAGTTCCTTCGGATGACCAAAAATGGTACCCAGCTGATGAACTTCACTCTGGACAAGAAGAGTGTCCTTGTAGATGGTAAGGCTCTCTGGTCATTGGTGCCAGAATGTAAGCTCCAGCTTACATGCCAGGGGGCTTTTCTGAGGAAGGGATGACATTTAACTTTACCAGATATACAGGCAATAACAATATTTCCGGAATTTGCCCATCATTAAGGGGGAGAAAAAGACATCTAATGGAGCACGGGAGGCCTTTGTCCTCTGCTAGAAAGCTCTCTCACCTCATACAAGGCATGTCTCACCTCCAAACTTCTTTTTTCCCTTGGTGAAATGACCAGCAAAAGCTTACAGTCCCAAGCCATGTGTGATTCAACCTCAACAAATATGATATGATGAACTGCTTTTCTGATCCTGGAGGTGCCTCTGAGGGGGCTCTCTTAGTATCTTTCTAAGTAGCTGTGAAAAAACAACCTAAAAAATATGATTAATGGAAAAAGGGGTTATTCTGGCTCATAGTTCAGAGGTATAGTTCATCATGGTGAGATCAAGGCAGTGGGAGTTTGAAATACATTGTTACATCCACAGCCAATATTAGGGAACAATATGAATTAATGCTTGCACGCATTTGTTGAGCTTACTTTCTCTTTTTCATTCAGTCCAGGACCTCAGTCCAGGGGAATGGTGCTAGCCACATTAGATTTGTCCTCCCACATCAGTTACTGTGTATAAGTTACTTCACAGACATTCTCAGTGGCCTGTCTCCTAAATGATTCTAGATTGCGTCAAGCTGACCATTAAAACTAATCATCACAGTGGCTAAACCTTGTATTTCCAAATTTGCATCAAACAAGTGTTGTGTATATTGTCCTATGCACCAGAAATATAGGAGTGACTTTGCATGGTAGGTGTTATTTTCCAGGATCCTCATTTTCTGCTTGATAGAGGTAACCCACATATGTATCCCTTTCAAAGAACTACATAAATTACTTTCAAAGAATGGTGAGAAGTTTTCTTTTAGACCCAGAAAATGGGCTTGGACCCTTTAATGCCTTCTGTGTGCTATCTTTAGTTTTGAATTATTATTGTATAAGAAGATACTGTTAGGCTGGGCTGAAGCACTTGCCATTGCAAGCAAGAGGATCTGAGTTTGAATCCTGAGAACTGACATAAAGCTGGATGTGGCAACACATATCTTTAAGCACTCTTATGGTGAGATATGAGGCAGTTAGAAGAACATTGTGGGACAGCTACTCTGGTAGAAATAAAGCAGCTAACAAAGAAACCCTTTGGAAGAGACATCCGCGCGTGTGTGTGTGTGTGTGTGTGTGTATGTGTGTGTGTGTGTGTGTGTGTGTGTGTGTAGGCCAGAGGACAACCTCAGTGTCATTCATCAGTAATCATCCTCCCTGATTTTTAAAGATAGGGTATCTTGATGACCTAGAGCTCACCAAGTAGACTTACACAATAGAAGGCCTCCACATGTGCACTGTCCCCTCAAACACAAATGTGAGCACGCGCGTGCGCGCGCGCACACACACACACACACACACACAGACATCATACATATACAAACATTTAAAACAAGAGAGATGACATTGTTAGTTCTCTATAGCATAGATAAGCAGAGGAGTTCTATAAACAGATAACTAAGAAGTAACTTAGAGGCTAGAGAGATGGCTCAGTGCTTAAGAGCACTGTCAACACCTCCAGAGGCCTGAGGTTCAGTTCCCAGCACTCACATGCTGGCTAACAACTGTCTATAATATGAATTCCAGGGAATCTTATGCTCTCTCTGTCCTCCGTGGGCATTTCATGCACACTCATACACATAAAATAAATAATTAAAACTATTTTTATTGAGTTTTTGTGCATTTCATAATAATAGATCTTAATCAAATTTAGACTCCTGTCCCCCATCTGTGCCCTCCCATTACTACCCCACCGGGTTTCACGCATTGTCATATAATGTTAAGTCCTACCTGGTCAAACATTTGTATGCAGATGTCCCTTGGTGCAAGTTCATCCATTGGTCTTGTCAGTCTATCTAGAATCACTCCCTTAAAGAAGATCTACTCTCCCTCATCCCACAGTAATCCATTCCCAATAGTTCCTCAGTTATGGTTGGGGCCTGCTGCCATTTCCCCAGTTCTATGTTGGGTTTTTGTCTGATTGAGTCAGCATGGATCTCGTGCATGCTGTTCTCTTTGCTGCAAGTTCATATGAGGAATTTCCCAGAGGCCAGAAAGCCTCTGTTTACTTATGCTCATGCAGCAGTCCTAGCTCTTACAATCTTTCCACCCTCTCTTCTTCGATGGTCCCTGAGCCTTGGGTGGGTGAGATTTAATACAGGAGTCCTATCAGAGGCACATACTCTGCAGTCTCTTATTTTCTAAAATCTGGCCAGTTGTGGCCTTCTGTGTACATCACATTCTTGTTTGAAAAAGTTTCACTGGTGAGAGTTGAGAGGTGTATTAGTAATCTTTCTATGCCCTGTTCTGCTCTGTTCCACGAACATTAGGTGTTGAAGTTCCACTGTAGATGTGTCACTTAGAGCTGGGCATCTCTCAGACATGTATTCTGTGTGTGACCTGTTGTAGAAAAAGAAATATTAGAATTTGTTGGTCCCAGGTAGCTAAGGTCACATGTATTAATCCTTTTGAAAAATGATGATGGTGCACACCCTTAATTCTAGCACTTGGGGGACTAAGGCAGGAGGATTATGAGTTCCAGGCCAGCCTGGGTTACAAAGCAAGACCTAGACTAAGAAAAACAAAACAAAACAAAACAAAAAACCAAAAAAAAACAAGGAAAACCATTGTGAGATCAAAGATTGTAAAATCAAGCAATGGGCCTCACACACTGCAGTTGACCAAACCTGCTCTGAATAATACTACTAGGCAGAGCTTTCTACAATGATGTGAATTTTCTATCTTCCTTCCTTAGTTCATTTCCTGCTGCTGAAACTAAGTATCTAAACCTGGATACTTGTTGTATCACACTATTTCTAGAGAGGTGAAAAAAAAAATGTCTACTCACCTCTGATAGGGAACCAATGACAGACCAAATTAAGGATATCACTGACACGCAGCTCAGTGAACCAGAATTAATCAGGGTTATGTACAAGTGGGAGAAGGGTCACTTACAGGAGCAGAGAGAACAGAAAAGCAGCTGCATCGCCCAAAGCCCACCCCGCATGGGTGATAGCTCACGAAAGCTGGATGGTGGAGTGTACTGCACAACTTGCAGGCAGCTTCACAGGTGCCTTTTCGAGGCAGCTCATCTAGTCTGTCTTTCAGGGAGCTGAGCTGGTCTGAGAGTGTCTCTTAGCCCTTATTGTTTATATAAGCTTGGAAAGGGAGGAGCCTCATACAGCTTGTCAGTTTCAAGGACTTCCTAAAACTTCTGAGTTCAGAACCTAAGCCTTAAAAATCTCTCTTTAGAACATCCTCTTACTCAGATTTCTTTACAATATGTAATTGTATCAACTCAAGAAACTGCTACACAACACTACATTATAAAGAGGAGTTATTTAGCTCACAGTTTGGGAGGTTGAAAGTCGAGGATCTGGCAGCCTGATGTTTTTGGCCTTTAAGAGATCATCATGGAAGATAGTCTCACAACTGTGGAAATCACATGTGAAGGAATCACATGGCAAGACAAGAAGCAAGATGGTTTTAGAGCCAGATGTATTATGTGCTTGTGTGTGTGTGTAGGAATGTGTGTGCATGCAGAGGCTAGAGGACAACCTTGGGTTGTCGTCAGGAGTTACTCACTTTTTTTTATGAGGCAAGATATCTTGCTGACTTAGAGTTCACCAAGTAGACTAGGCTAGTTGACCTTTAAGCCCCAGGGATCCACTTGTCTCTATATATCGAGTGCTGGTATTGAAAGCACATGCTGCCATACCTTTTTTTTTTTAAAAGGTGGGTTCTGGGGATTGAATTCAGGTCCTCATCTTTGAAAGGCAAGCACTTCACAAATGGAGCTATCTACCCAGCCCAACCTGCTTTTTTAAAACCGCTATAACGACCCACCCTCATGGGAACTGGGATTACAGGAGAAATACATTAATTTCTTCTTAACACATGCCTTTAAGGGCCTAATCACTGCCCATTGAGCTGTACTTCTTAAAGCTCCTATAACCTCAACACCACCACACCAGAGAATAAGTCTCCAACTCATGACCTTTGGGGTCTCCACACTCAAACCATTTCTAAACCACATAGCACTATGTTGTCCAGTACAGTAACCACGTATTTGACTTAAATTTGAAAAGTTTTTTCTTGGTCCTCCCTATAATGCAACACACACCCTTAAGAGCTTGGCTGGGAAGCCACACATGGTATTGAATATCTGTAATCTCAGCACTCAGGAGACAGAGACAGGAGGATTTCAAATTCAAGGCCGGCTAAGGCCACAGACACATAGTGAAGCTCTGTTTCAAAAAAATAAAATGTAGGGAACACAGCTGTGAAATATTGTCTTCTGGATGACAATTGTACATTCACATGCAATGAATAGCAGCTGTGGTTGCTTACGCAGGTATGGACAGGATTAAGCCAGTCAAAATTCCAGCATGGAGAGTGGGAGGTACTCATGAGGCCATATACCTAGTTAAGGAACTAGTGGAATTTGATGGTTGCTGAGGAAGGAAGAGTCACTTTTCTTTGAGGCTTGACCACTGGTAGTTTTCTCATATCCAGAGATGGCCCCTGTGCTGGAGAGCTTTGGTGTCAACTTGGCACACCTGGGTTGAGGGAGCCTCAATTGGAGAATTGCTTCCATTTGACTGGCCTGTGGCCATGTCCATGTGGCACCTTCTTGATTGTTGAGTGATGTGGGAGGGCCCAGCCCACTGTGGATGGTGCCACCCCTGGGCAGGTGGGCCTATGATGTATAAGAAAGCAGGTTGAGCAGGGGCCAGGGGAGCAAGTCAGTAAGCAGTGTAACTCCATGGCCTGTGCTCCAGCTCCTGCTTCCAGGTTCCTGCCCTGAGTTTCTACCTTGGGCTCCCCAATGAACTGTGACTAAGGAGATGTAAGCTGAATAAACCCTTTCCTCCCCAAGTTGGTAGTGGTCAGAGTGTTTTGTCACAGCATTGGAGAAATAAACTAGGAAAGAAATTGCTACCAGAGAGTGAAGTATTGCTGTGACAGACCTGTTTTGGGGAGGACTGTGGAAGTGTTTGGAACTTTGGGCTGGAAAAGCTATTGCGTGCTCAGAGTTTGTTGCTGTGGAGCTTGGAACAGTTATGCTCAAAGAGTTGTAGACTATGGAGGCCTGGCTTGTGAAGCTTCAAAGGGTAGCAGAGACCATCAGGGATATGCGTGTGATATTTTGAATTGAGAACTTGTGGGTTCTGGTCAGCTGGGGCTGAAGAATCAGCTGTGATTAAGAAGAAACCAGAACCTGAAGTAAAACCTTTGCTTTACTGGGACAATTGATGCTGGTTAGTTGGGCTGAAAAATCAGCTGTAAGTAACAAGAGAACAGCATCACTACGGTGAAATCTTCTGGGAGGTATTTCCTCAGGGTCAGAACACAAGAGGGGAGGGACCCAAGCCTCTCTCTCAAGCTGGAAGCAGGACTTGGTAATGTGCAAGAGTCTCCTGCATGGTTCTGGTGTTGAAAGTGTGGAGGGGTCACAGGGAGCAACTGAGGCTTGGTACTCTGAGAGGCCAGGAAAGGCCATAGGTGAAACTGCAGCTTCAGTTGTAGCAAAGACCCCAGGATTGAAGGGGTCATGGAGAGAATCTGAGGCTTTGCACCCCAAGAGGCAAGAAGAGGCCATTGGTAAAGGTGTAGCCTCAGTTTCAGTGGAGACCCCAGCTTTTTGGAGATGCCAGGACCATGGGACGACCACCAAGGGTAGCGGCAGTTGTGGAATGGAGTTGGCCTGGATCTGCAAGGCGAGCTGTGTGTGCTGTGGATGGCAGAGTCAGAGAGGTGGAGCTGCCAGAACCCTTTGGAGCCCAGAAGATCATGAGTGAATTCCAGATGTCCAGCCTTGAGCTACTTTGCTGGACTTTAGTTTTGCTTAGGTGTGCCCTATTCTTCCCTTTGAAATAAGACAGTACTTGTTTTGGATTTTACAGAAGCCCACCCACAGTTAAGAGACTTTTAAAAGAGACTATGGACTTTTAAGTGTTTGGATTTTTTTTTAAGGACTGTGGGGTTTTTAAGGTTGTACTGTCTTAAGTTGTCATATTAGTGTTAACATCATATCTTGGGGACAAGAATTGGAAAGGTTATGATTTAATAGTGATGTGTTTGTGTATCAAGTTGACAAGGGGTCAATTGTGCTGGATAGCTTTAGTGTCAACTTGACACACCTGGGTTGAGGGAGCCTCAATTGGGGAATTTCCTTTATTGCACTGGCCTGTGGCCATGTCTGAGGGGCATCTTTTTGATGAGTGATGTGGGAGGGCCCAGCCCACTGTGGGTGGTGCCACCCCTGGCAGGTGGGCCTATATTGCATAAGAAAGCAGGCTGAGCAGAGGCCAGGGGAGCAAGCCAGTAAGAAGCATTCCTCCATGGCCTGTGCCTCCAAGTTCCTGCCCTGAGTTTCTACCTTGGGCTCCTGAATGAACTGTGACCGAGGATATGTAAGCTATAAGCCTTTTCCTCCCCAAGTTGGTATTGGTCAGAGTGTTTTGTCACAGCAATGGAACAACAAACTAGGACAGCCCCACACTCATGTGCATACAGGGAGCACTAATTGGACTTAGTAGATTATATTTTTAATATTTGATTATTTTTATTTTTTGTGTATCAGTGTATTGCCTGCATGTGAACAAGTGCACCCATGCCATGCAATGTTCATGGAGGTCACTGAACTCAGTAGATTATTAAAAAAATAAAAAAGGAGAGGACATGAAATTAAGATGTGATGGGAGAGTCTTGGGTTGAGGAAGTGTGATATAGTTGTCCCATTTAAGACTGAACACACCAAAGTCACTTATTCTCTGTTCTCAGACCATCCATGGATCTCTGTATTAGCCTCTGTCCACTACAAAAAGCTTTTCTAATGAGGGCTGAGAGCTGCACTAATCTATAGATATAAATATCAATCAGAAGGCAGTATGCCATTGTACTTTTAGCAAAGTAGCAATAGTATGTTCTCCCCTCAAGCCTATGAACCTCCCCAGCCATGGGTTCTTGACCAGCTTTCCTTTTCTCCCCCAGTTTAAAATGTATAGTATCTGATTTTAAAATTTGAACAAAAGTACTAAACAAATTAGGGTAGCAAATGTCAATCGTTTATATTATTTTGAAGTATTTCATTGTTTTTATTTTATGTGTATGAGTGCTATGCCTGCATGTGTGCAAGTGTACCCGTGCCATGCAGTGCCAGTGGAGGTCAGAAGAGGGAAATGGGGAACTGGAGTTTGGATGGTGTTTAGCCACACTGTGGGGGGTGGGAACCAAAACCCAGCCCGTGCTCTTAACTGCTGAGCCATTTCTCCAGCCCATATAAATATTATTTTAGCTGTAAGAATCTAAATGGTTAAATCTAAGCAATGGACATTTACTATACTATTCTATTTTCTATACATTTGGAATTTTTTAATTTTCAAATTTTTAATATTTTTTGAATTTCATACAGTATATTTTGATTGTATTTAAATCCCCCTCCTGTATCTAAACCCCCCTTTCTAGTGCTCCCACCAGATTTCTTTACTCTGATATATGTGTATGTGTGCATGCGCACACGTGTGTGTGCCTGTAGAATTAGGTTTGTGTGCCCAAATGCCCTTTTGTGTGGGTTCATCCACCGAAGCCTGGGAAATTTTTATTAAAAAGAATTAAGCTTGGCTGGGAGTGTAACTCAATGGTATAGCACTTTCCTTGCATACTCAAGACCCTGGACTTTATCCAGAGAGCTATAAAAGGTAAAAAAAAATAAAGAAGGCATATTTAATTGCACTTTCCACTTCATTTATTTCTAGGATACTCTTACAGCAGAGATGATTCTGTGATAAGGAATTCTGGTAAGTTTCAAAAAAGGCTATGCTTATGGTGACTTGGGTTCACCTTCTCCTAAGCATTGTCAGAATGCTCTATGCAGAGGGTCTTGGGTCATGATAAAAGATGATCAACCCATGGCAAGGACTGAAAGGGTTGACAGATAGCAGGGATTTTGTCCTACCATGGGCCCCATATGTGGAGAAAGACTATTCAGAGCTGTATTGTACTTAGCTGTCACGCTCTCCTCATCTGATTCATGCCCATCCTTAGGTGACACAGAGTACAAGAAGGCTCCTTGGGAGGTAGTGCTACCATCTACGGGACTTGACTGGGTTTGTTTTCTCTACCAATTAAAGAATTAAAAAGCAGGAAGAATCTCAGGTGCATCTGGCAATAAACTTTATTAAAAGTGAAGAAACACACACATACACACACTCACACATATGTCCCACAAATGGAGAGTGGATTTGGAAATCAGAATCCAATGCCCCAGGAAGGCCTGGGTCTTTTAGGTGCTCCTGGTGGGAAAGAGCAGGTTCTCCTCCTTTAATTTTGGATTGGTCAACTTAAAGAAAAGAGGACTGTTAGGCCCATAGCTCTAAGCTGAGATATGCCCAGGACTGGCTTTAGACTTACCCGGACTGGTCTGGACTGGTCAGCCAGAAGAGTGCCTTACCAATGAAAGAAAAGGCCTACCAGGTTTTTGTCCCAAGCGAGGCAGAAGTCAGAAGTTTTCCATCTGTGTTATTTATCAGTGGCCTTTTCCTTATCTGTCTGTCTGTCTGTCAGGGATATGGTTGACTTCTAGCCCCTCTGTAGCTCACCCCAGTACTTGTTTTTCCAGAACTTCCCTTCTGGGCCATCATCCTCATCTGCTTGTTGGCACTCCTGGTACTCATCACATGCCTGACCTGCTGTTTCCTGGTGAGCAGGAAGTGCGTGTGTATGGGCGTGGGGTGTGTGTGTGTGTGTGCCTGTTTACCTGTCTTCTCAGTATTGTATTGCAAGAACTTTTAATACAGGCAAGCCCCATACAACACTAATTTGGTTCATGGTGATCTGAATACACAAACAAAACTGGTCTCAAAAGGTGCCTAGTGACATTATTGCCATCTTATCTTGTGTAAGTCCTATCTATGATGCTTGTACAATAACAAAATGACCTAATGTTGCATTTATCAAATATGGCCCATAATTATTCAATACATGTCTATTATACATATGAGTCCTTTGCTGACTATATGTTTTGTGAATATTTTCTCCTTGTTTGGATATGGCTGGCCTTTTCTAATTTTTTTTGTTGTTTTTTTGGACTTTTTGAGACAGGGTCTCCCTGTAGCCCCAGATGTCCTGGAATTCACTATGTAGACCAGGCTGGCCTTGAACTCACAGAGATCTGCCTGCCTCTGCCTCCAGAGTGCTGGGATTAAAGGCATGCACTACCACGCCTGGCCCTTTTCTAATTTTAATGCTATGTGTTTGGCTTTTTTATTTGTTTTATTTATTTTTGTTTGTTGTTTTATTTTGGGTTTTTTGGGTTTTTTTATTTTTTTTGGTTTGGTTTTTGACTTTGTGAGACAGTATCTCATGTAGTCCAAGCTGGCTTCAAACTCAGTGTGTAACTAAGAATGATCTTGGACTCATGATCATCTGGCCTCTGTCATCCAAGTGCTGGGTTTTTAGGCCATTTCCACTATGCTCAGCTTCTATTTTTATTTTTAGTTGGCAAGTAATGTGTACATGTATGAGATGCTATGTGGTATATGTGTTCATATATATATATATATATATATATATTGGAATGACTAAATCAAGTTAATACCTCTATCACATCATGTTTTGTGGTATGAACAATTTGAAAACTACCCTCAGAAATTCTAAAATATATATTACATTAACTGTAGTCACAATGTTCTCTAATGGGCCTTGAAATGTTAACATTAGTCGTTAAAAAATGTATACAATGATATAACACATATGCAAAAAGCAATTAAGAAAAAGGTCTAAGTACAGCCGGATGTGGTGGCACACGCCTTTAATCCCAGCACTTGGGAGGCAGAGGCAGGCAGATCTCAGTGAGTTCAAGACCAGCCTGGTTTACATAGTGAGTTCCAGGACAGCTGGGGCTACAGAGAGACTCTGTCTCAAAAAGACAAAAAAAAAAGGTCTAAGTATAATAAGTGCGGGAAAGATGTGAAGCCATAGGAACTCTTACAGAAAGCTAGTGGAATTTGGAGGATTGGTAATTTCATTGAAAGTTATTATTTACACCCATAGGACACAACCATCCCAACCCTGTTAATTTATGTAGGAAAATGAAAACACATATCTAAAGCTTGTACACAAATAAGCATAGCTTTGTTCTTAGTAATAGCCAAAAAAGAAAAAAATAGCAGCCTCAAACTGAAAACAAAACTGGAGTTTCTATCAAAAGGTGTATCCCAACAATGGAATGCTACTCAGGAAAATATTATGAATTATTAATCTGTAGGGACAAATCAGACCAGTGACTTTCTAAAAACAAACTGTGTTTGCAAATGACAAGGAAATAAAAATTATAGAAAAGAATACTTTTAGGAATGATGATGGAATGTTCCCAGTTCCTAGGTCCCTAGGGTACTGACGGTTTAGTTAAGTATAGCAAAAACTTATCAAATCACTTAGGTTTTTTTTGATAGAAAATCTCACTATATAGGTCATGGTAGCCTTGAATTAAAAATCCTCTGCCTCAGCTTCCTGATTTCTGGGATTTGAGGTGTGCACTACCATAATCATTCACTTTAAATGTGTGCGGTTTATTTTATGTCTGTTATACCTTGGTTAAACTAGAGGAGTGGCAGAAAAGAGAAGGAAGTGGGGGATACCAAAAGGCAGGCTGAGAATGAGAGGAGAAAAACTTGAGAGAGAAATTATAATTAGATAGATGCTACAGGACTGTCAATAGAAGGATATATAGGTGATGGATAGATGTTTAACATATAGATGATTAGCATATGCTAGATAGTTGATAGAAGGATATACAGATGATTGATAGGAAATAGGTGGATTGATAACAGACTGACAATGGAAAGACAGTTACTACATGATAGAGACTCATAAGCAACTTCAAGATGATAGGTAATTCAGATGGAACTTGTAAATGGTACAGAGGCTGATAATAGATTACTGAAAGATGATAGAAAATTCTCTAGATGGATGGTAGATGGTTGATAGATAATTAATTCAGAACCAGGGAGAAGGGAATGAAAGGGATGTGAGGGTTAAAACTGAAACTAAAAAGAGAGGGAACCTGGTTAACCTACCAAGAGTCACACCCTTAAAAGAGAAGGATTCTCCCTTCCCCATCAGCCATCGGTTTCCAATAGTTCCTCAAGTAGGGTTGGGGTTTCTTACCCAGTTTCCCAAGTCTATGCTGGGATTGGACTCTTGGTAGGTTAACAAAACTCCACACTGAAGGACATTTGGGGATACACATTTGACTCTATTGGCCATATATACATATACATATACATACACACACATATATGTACATACACAAATATCAATGAAATTGGGGTGTAGTAAAGGGAGTTGCAGATAGTGGAGGGGATCTAAATACAATCAAAATATATTGTATGAAATTCATAAAATTCAATTAAAAAACTTGGAAAAAAGAAAAATAGAGGGAGGGAGAAGGACTGAGGGAGAAACCCAAACTAAGAGGATGAAAAGGGACACAGCAAACATCAGGCCATAGATAATAATGGCTTTGGTCATGTGCTTATCCCTGAGGTCTCCCCTACTTGAGTGGCTGGTCAGTCCATTCTGATGCCTTCTCCTAACCCTCACAGGTAACTGTCTGCAGGAGGAAGAAGGAGAGAGACTACCAGGTTCAATGGCACCGTCTGGGCTATTATCTGCCTCATCTAGACCTGAGAAAGCTACCATAAATTCATCAGCTGGGGCGCCTTTTTCCCAACAGGGTTCAAAGAACAAATAAACCACACTGATCAGAAACAGCATCTGTGGCTCTTTCTTTCTTTTTCATTTGTGGTTTTTTTTTTTTTAGAATTTCATTCATCAGTACACTGAATTTACATCATCTAACTTTCCTTTTGTTTTCAGATAGAATCTAATGCAGCCTAGGTTGACCTGTACCCAAGCCTGAACAGGAGCTTAAAGTTTGGATCCTCCAGTTTGCAGTTCTGGAGCAGCTGGGATTACAGGCCTCTGTGCCTCTACCACTTCATTTTAGGCAGTGATGGGGAGTGAAGCCAGGGACTCTGGTATGCTAGGATGGCCCTCTACCCAATAAGCTAAATCCCCAACACTGCCTCTGTGCCGTTTAAAAAAAGTTTTATTTTAATTTTATGTGTTTTGCCTGCATTTAAGTGCACCCGTGGGTGCAATGCCTGATGAGGCCAGAAGAGGACACTAAATGCCCTGGAAGTAGAGAAATGGTCATTGTGTAAAAGGACACACCACTTCAATGTGGTATGTCCTTCCTTAGTCACTCAGTACATGCCTGTCCTTGACTCCATTATCGGCCATAACTTACCTACAATCTTTCTCCAAATTTTCCACTGCATAGAGCCTTGGCCATCTCAGGTTTCTATTATACTACTTCATTCTCTGAGTTCATTTTCTCCAGAACTTCCATATAAATCCTCTTGTGTTTTAATATTAATTTAGATACACTTTTTTCATTATTTCTCTTTTTGTTTATTCCAGTGTTTTCCCCTGTTCCTATTTTTTTTAACCTGGTGTATTCATTTGATTAAGACTTGTGGTAGGTTCATTCAGAATAGGTCTGTGGGTCTGAATAGCTGTCTGGACCTCTCCCTTTTCCTCTCTCACTTTCTCCTCATCTATCTTCTCCTCCCCCCTTCCTCTTTTCTCTCTCTTCTCCCCTTCCCCTCTTATCCCCCCTCCCTTTCATCCTGCCTTTCTCCACAGTCTTACTGTGTAGCCCAGGTAGCCCTCAAACTTGTCCTGCCCTTGCCTCAGCCTGCTGAGTGCTGAAATTGCCAGTGTTTGTTGCTACCCCAGGCTGCCTGTTTTCAGGATCTTCCGCCATGCTTTATTCATCCTTCCATCATAAATAGAAGTTACCTTTAGAAAGTCTTGGCATTATTAGAAACTCAGGCTTCAAAGATGCCTGGTCACTTCAGGTATTCATTCCTTCTTGGTCTACTTTCTCCCTTGGATGACCCAACACAAGGTCTTTCTGTATTCTGAATCAAAGTAGACTATTGTAGACTAGCATCACAGCTACCCTGTTAGGATTTTCTGGACTATGTTGCATGACCTCTACACATTAAAAAACATTTTTTAGGGGCAGAGATATAGCTCAGTTGTTAGGAGAACTTGCTGCTCTTGTGGAGGGTCTGTGTTCAGTTCCCAGCACCCACACGATAGCTAACAACAATCTGTATCTCCAGTTCCAGGAGATTTAATGCCCTCTTTTGGCTTCTCCAGGCTCTGCATGTACATGGTGTATTAAAATATATGCAGGGAAAACACTCAAACACATAAATACAAATTAATAAAAACTGTAATTTAAAAAATAAAAATTTTGTGGAAAAAGTGTTAGTCCAGAGAAATAACTTCTTTATTTATGTCAAGGATTTTAAAAATTCTGCATTTAATATTACTGTCATTATGAGTAGAATTCTGCCTGCTTGGCAGGCCTCATTACACAGCAGCATGTAACAGTATTTGCCTTATTTAACACTTTTTATCGATCACTAAAGAATTGACAATGGATTCAAACTAGAAAATGTGATACATGTGTGAAGTTTCTTAGTTGTACAAAAATTCACCCTCAGTTATAAAGAATAATAAAAATCAAGGGGAAATAAATTTGTTTGTGTGAACCTTTGTTATTTTGAGGCAACCAGTCATTTTCCCCCATTAAACAAATTCAAATCAAGTATGACTTATTTAGAAATTATGTCTTCTAACATTTATAAGAAGCTGAAGATGCTAGTTAGAGGGGTCGACTGTAGTTGCTGCACTGTATAAACATCTCCGAGGATGACCTGATATGTTTCCAATATGCAGGGATGTCCAGTTTGAAGATTAATTGTGACAGTATATCTTTGTCTTTATATTTGGGGAACAGCTCAGATGTTTTTTGGAACTCAAGATTCTGGCTTGGTTTGTCTCTAATATTTCTTTGGAAATCTATGGGGAGGGAAAAATGAACAAGGAGTTTCAGAGTCAAGAAATTACCAAGCAATTACAATACAGAGAAAACAGCTGTGCATGTTAATAATGAAGTAAATATTTTCAGGGAGTATCTTCTTACGCACGATGATTTCAGAGTATGCCCCACACTTCATTTGGAAACAAAAAGGGTTACAGGCAAATTACCACCATTAAAACATAAAATAATTAAAAAATTATGTATATGTGTGTGCATTTGTGAGTGGGTATGTGCTACAACTGCACAAGTTCCCTTGCAGTCCAGAGAAGGGCACTGAATCCACTGGAACTGGAGTTACAAACGGTGGTGAGTCACTAGATGTTGGTGTTGGGTACTGAGATTGGATCCTCCAGAAGAGCAGTATGCCCTTTTAATCTGTGTACTCTTAATGTGACCTCTATACATTTTAAAGGCCACCATAAGTGGTGATACCCAAGGACTAAGAATTAAATATAATACCACTGCTGTAAATTATTTTTGTATGACTCTTGCATTCTCAGGCTTAAGCAATCTTTCTTTGAGAAAGCACTCTGTGAAGATTAGAGTTACAATTATAGGTGCCATCATGAATTTATAACAGTCATGCATCACTTAATAACTTTCTGAAGATTCGTCATTTAATCTTGTAGGACCATAGTTGTAGATATGGTTTTCCATTCTGGAAACAGCATCACATTGTGCATGGCTGTATTTAACATCTGCTAAGCAGTATTGATAGTAAACTCTGAACTCATTACCTCTGTTACACTTTCTGTTGTGGTTTAGGGTCCCCTCTAAAACTTATGTGTTTGAAATGTAATCTCAATCTCCAAGTGTTGTATTGCGATTTTTTCTAATTTAATTATTACTTCTAGGTAGAGGAAGACTCCTAAGTCCTAGGCAGTTGGGGCTGGAGAGATGGCTCAGTAGTTAAGAGCACTTGCTTCTTTTCCAGAGGACCCAAGTTTGATTCCCAGCACCCACACTGGGCTGACCATAGTCTGTAATCCCAGGTCCAGGGGATCCAACACCCTTTCTGGCCTCCTTGAACATCTCCAAACACATCACACACACACACACACACACACACACACACACACACAAATCTTTAAAAAAGAAAGACTTCGAAAGTTAATGAAATTTACCAGGTTCAGGAAGTTCAGAAAATTACAAGATTCACCAGGCCCCTCTCCAAGGTTACAACCACAGTAAACAATTGCTGGGGACAGGAGACTCTTCAGTGTAGCTGCCTGTGAGTTGTGCAGGGATCTGTAGGGATACAGCTTTCCTGAATCATCCCCCCCCCATGCTGGGGTGGGCTTTTCCAAGACACAGCTGCCTTTACTCCTGTAAACAACCCCAAATAAACTCACTGGGCCACCAAGCTAGACTTCAGTTGTTTCGTTTCTTGGATATATCATTGGTATCCCATCTTGGCTAAATGTATGTTCGTTGGTCTCTCCAGCAAACTCATAAGAGAACCAAAGCGACTGTTGGGTAATAGAGCATCATAAGAAATGTTTTGGTCTCGTAGACTCCTGCTGCCCCCACTAATGGAATAAAACTTCTTCTAAAAGGGGGTTTATGACTGGGACTAACCTAGCTTTGTCTCTGCTGGCTAGAATTTGCACTGTTGGAAGGAGCTGTGCATACTGCCTACCAAGGGAGAAAAATAATCAACAGTCTTGCCTAGCTGTGAACCTTGCAAGCCTGGCCTGACAAGATATGCTCACTGATACAATAGTAATATGGTTATGGGAGTAAGAAAGCACTTTCTGGTCGGATTTAATGCATCCTCTACAAGCTGGAAATCATCTCTGATGTCATTAACTGGGTCACCAAACCCCGTGGCTGGGTAGTTGAGAACCTAATGTATTATTCTGCTAAATGGACACAGCAATAAACTGCCCCCTAGATTCTTACCTTTATATTCACAGTAATGCATCTCTCAATCCTCACCAGAGATGCATCTTTTTTTTGCAGTTAATACAGATTCCCACAACTGGTTAACATGAAGAGAATAATGGACTGGAGTATCTAGCTCTTAATGAGGCATCATTATCATACCCTGTTCTCTCAGGCTCAAGGACCATCCCAGAAGAAGGGGCAGAAAGATTCTGAGAGCTAGTGACTGTCTGCAGAGACCATGCCAGATATGATAGGGTCATTGCACACACAATCTCACAGCGGCTGTGACAGCTTGCATAATGCCTGTACTTATCAATCCACCCAAAACCCAGCATGGATAGAGGAGGAGCCATTGGCAAATGATGGTTTCTGGGGGAGGAAGAGTCAGTTTTCATCAGGGATGCAGACCTTGAAAGGCTACCTGTGTTCCAATAGATAGTCCTACACCCATGGACATACAGGCAGTACTGAGTGAACTTAGCTGAGAAAAAGAGTACATTAAGTTGAGAGGGAAGAATAGTGGTGGGGAAAGAGGTGAAACCTGAGGGGAAAAGAGGGAGGTGGGTTTGATCAAAAGGCATTATATATGTGAATTTCTCAAACAATTAAAAAATCTTTAAAATTAAAAAAAGGCAATGAAAAGGGGCATGGGTCCCTTTCCTTCCGTTCCTTCCATATGAGGACTCAACATTTGTCCTCTTTCAACCTTCTACCTTCCACCATATAAGGATAAGTAAAGGTGTGCCTCAGATGCCACCATCTTGATCTTGGAATTCCCAGTCTTCAAAACTCTGAGAGGGGCATACAGAAATGGTTCAGCAGTTAAGAGTACTGGTTGCTATTGCAGAGGACCTAGGTTCTGTTCCCAGCACCCACATGGTAGCTAACAAACATCTGTAACTCTAGGCTCTGAAGCACTCTTCTGGCCTTCACAGACATGGCATGCTCATAATACACTTACATACATGCAGGCAAAGAATACACATAATAAATTTAAAAACAAAATTGTGAGAGAATAAGTTATCAGGTATACAGAATCTGTAGGGTTCTGTTATAGCAACACAGAATGAAGACACCATCCTTGAGGGTTTATTTACATTTTATAGTTGCAAGGATGATGACTCAGAAAAACAAGATAGCTGGACAAGGAAGGAAAATAATTACTTAAACTCAAGTTATTTATCTAGACAAACTATTTCAAAAACATAGAGATAGCCGGGGTTAGCAGCACATATTTGTAATCTCAGTACTCAGGAACTTGAGGCAGGTGAGCTGAAACTTTGGAGGGCTGTCTGGGCTGTAGAGTATGAACCTGTGGAGGATGTGGAGAGAGGGAAAGGGGTGGGGAGAAGAGAGGAGAGAGAAGAAAGGATGGGGGAAGAGTAGAAGATAGATGAGGAGAAAGGGAAAGCAGAAGAGGGAGAGATTCAGAGAGCTATGCAGAAACACAGACCAATTCTAAGTGAACCTACCTCAAACTTTAACCAAAAGAATGTACTCTAGGAAGAAAAACAATTAGGAACATGGAAAAATATTAGAATAAAACCCCCGAGAAATAAAAAAGTATAAATTAATATTGCCAAATGCAAGCCCAGAGGTTGGAAAATCAAATTTTAAAATAATTCATTTGTAAGGACTGTATAAATATATACTCCTTTTTTCTTTTATTTATTTATTATTTATTTATTTATTTAATGGTGTGTGTGTGTGTGTGTGTGTGTGTGTGAGAACATGTACCAGGGCACATATGAACCTTAAAATATTTTAAGGATTAGATGAAAGCTCCCAAATACTTTTGACATTTTTGGTTCAAAAATGGAGTATGTTACTAAGAGGCCAAAGGACATTTTGACTTTTAGCCAAAAAACTGGATACTTTTCTTTGGGGTCTTTTTACCCTAACTGCCTAGCCAATTCCTACCTCCTAGTCTTATCACACCATCTTCTGAAGAGGTTACCCAGCTTGCGGATTGGGAATCGGGATGAAGACTGTTCTGGCTTCTTCCATGCTGAAAAGGGACACAGGGTGAGGCAAATGGGGTACCTCTTCAGTGGGTCTATCTAAAAGACTCCCATCTATCTAAAAGACTGTGGGGGGGGGGGAGAAAGTCCTTTACTGGTGACTAGGAGATGTGACGTAGAAGTAAAGCCAAGCATAATTAGCATTACAAGTTCTAGACAGGGAACTAGAAAAAAGTCAGAACAGGGCAATTTTCAAATGTTCACATGAAAGTCCATTGGAATTTCTTGACAAGGCCTTCCAAAAGCATCCCTCTATTGGGTTCCTCCTCATTTTTCTTTTGTCTGCCAAGGCTGGACTCAAGAATGATGGATTCAGGATTTGCTTTCAGGTACTTCGATAGCTTTTGGAGTGTTTAGAATCAGTGTCAGTTCCCTCTCAAAGGCTTCGAGATAACTCAGGGGTTGCTGAGGTGTATGTATAACCTGAGGGTATGCACACTGGAAAGCCTTTACCCAGCATGGGTCATGCCTTCTCTTCCAAGCCTTCCCCGGATTGTATACTTTAGCCCTCCCCAAATCCAGGAGACCATGTGTGATTAGGGACAAATTACATACAGTTGGCTGGGAAGAGTGGCTGGACATATACTCCTTTTTAAAACATCACTCAAGATATGAGAGCATCAGACAAAAGTTTTAAGAGATTTTAGAAAATATAACATGCTTAATGAGGCAAATTGACAAACAGGTTTAATTTCTTGAATTCCAGTATGCAGGTGTTTATGATCAGATAAATAATGCTGCATTGTCCCTAGATGATCATATCCCCAAATGGTAAATTTCAAACACATGTAGTTCAGGAAACTGAGAATAAAGTTTGGTACATGTCTATATGAATTCTAAGTTAAAAGGTGATCAAAAACAGAAAAAACTGGAGATGGGGTTGGTGAGATGGCTCAGCAGGTAAAAGTTCTTGCCATTAAGCCCAAGGACCTGAGTTAAATCCCAGGGATTCACATGATAGAAGAGAACTGACTCCCACCAGTTGTCTTCTGACTTCCACATGTGGGTTGTAGCATACATATATGTATAAATAAATGAATGTAGTAAGAATAACTGGAGAATATAGAGATAAAACTCTTAAAGGAAATATTATTTAGGGAGCTGGAGAAATGACTAAGTGGTTAAGTGTCACTTGCTGGTTTTTTGCTGAGGTCCTAGGTTTGGTTCCCAGAACCCACATGGTGACTAAAACTGCCTATTACTCCAGCTTCCAGGGATCCAACACCTTCTTCTGACCACCTCGGCCACCTGTGCCCAGATACACACACACACACACACACACACACACAAGTTAAAAATACAGGAGAGAGAGAGAGAGAGAGAGAGAGAGAGAGAGAGAGAGAGATGCATACATATACACATGCGTGTACACACAATTTAAAACAGATGTGTTTTATTTTTAAAGAAATTACTGCCTAGGGGATATAGCTCTATGGTAGAGAGAGCACTTGCCTGGCATGAATGCAGCATTAGGCCCAATCTTTGGCACAGAGAAAGAAAAGGGGAGAGGGAGAGATAAAGGAGGGAAAGAAGGAGGGAAAATAAATTACCATTTGGGTTCTTTTGCATTTTCACGAAGAATTTTAATCAAGAATTTATTTAAGGTTTCAAGAACTCAAAGGAAAAACATGGACACTGTGAAGAGGTCTTAAAAACAGGGCCATGCCCCATTTCATCAGCAGTATCTTCGTACGTTTGTTAGTTTGTCCTCCTGGACCCTCTCACCTTCTCTGCCTCACTTGCTAGCCTTTCTGAAATCAATGCTATTGCAAGTTTTTCTCTTGCTACCTTCACTTTCCTTTCCTGACTTCTAATATCTTCTTCAGTGACCAGAAATTGTTTGGGGAGGAGCTGTGAGAAATCAACACCTGCTTCTGGAATCATCTCAGCCAACTGTGAAGATGGAGTAAGGATGGACATGGGGCTGGAGTGTATGCTGGCAGATTGAACCTGTGAAAGAGATGCATCTGTGCCTCTAGGTTCAAGGTTTTGCAAAGCTTTGGTGAGATCCAAAGTACTTAAAAGTTCTCCCACACTGCTGTAGGCCTGGAGTCCTTGCAGCCTCTTCTGCCAGTAGGCCTGTTGGGGCTGGTTCAAGGATTCCTCCCACTGATGGTATCTAACCTCATTGCTCGGATGGGATGTGATTCTAGTGACTGGCCTCTTAAATGTGTAACTGGACATCCTCAAGGGGATTGAAGTGCTTAATCCAGGCTTTGACTTGGATTGGTTTTCACTGTCACGTAGCTTCCTCTGTGAAGTCTTGCCCATCTGATTCCTTTTCCTCTTAACCCTGTAAACATAAATTGTGAAATTGGAGCAATGTGATGAATGAAGCCTGCTGTCTTTTATTATCAATGTGACACTTATCAGACAATTATCCTTGATATTTTGAACTTTCACCCTTTCCCTCTACTGCTCTAGATACATCTCACCTGCAGTCCAGAGAAATCATCAAACAGATCTCAGCTGAGTACAGAAACCTCAAAGTGACCACTCTTCTCTACCACGTTGCAAAATCTGCTCCCTGCTTTTATTCAATTTTTTAAAATCTATGTCATTGCCATCTGCACAAACCTTTATATTTCCATCATAACACAGTTCCCAGTCTTCCTCTAAATCCCTAATTATGCCATTCTTGTGTTATTTGAGTATGAATTTCTTATGAACCACTTGATTTTTCACAGCTTTTTTAGCATGTGAATCAGTAGTGAAATGAGATAAAGAAGGCTGGGGAGGACTATAGCAAACAGAGTCTTCTGGACACAGTAGGGCCACTGCACACATGAATTCAGTTTCTGTGGTAACTTGCACAAGATCTGTACAAGATCAAGCCAGTCAGCATTGCAGGGAAGGACTCATGAAGCCATACCCCCAAATGAGGCACTATTGACAGCTTAGGAGGAAGAGCCAGATTTCCTCACAGATCTGGTCCTTGGTAAGTTGCCTGTGCTCCAGTGGATGGCTCTACACTCATGCACATATTGTCAGCACTATTTGTTCTTACAAAGTTTTTTTTAAGAGAACATGAATTCAAGAGGGAAGTGGTGGTAGGATCTTAGAGAAGTTGGGGGTGAAATGGGGGATGGATTTGACCAAAGCACATTGTATATGCATAAAATTCTCAAAGAATAAAAAAAGAAATCAAAATGAAATTGCCAATAATTCTACTTTTGGAAAATCACGGCAAGATCCAAAACATATTCATCAACCCAAATGGTCATGTTCAAAATAAGTAATTTACAAAATGTATTCCTCCATCTCAAGCTTCTGATTTCTAGTTTTTATTGTTTTGCTAGATTTTATGCAAGAAATTTGATGGAATAGAGATTTCTAAATAGAAGATTTCTACTTATTTTCACATTATTCTCCCATTTATTTAAATATTAATTATACAACACAAGAGGTTTGTGATATTGCACATTCACATATAATTACTTTGATCAGAGTTGACCCATTATTCTTTTTCATCCCTTCTTTTCCTCTTTTTCCTACTTCCAATCTACATCTCTATTATTTCTTTTAGTGTCATGACATAATAAAAACACTAAATGTACATAAAAACATAATAAAAACACTAAATGTACAGAAGAATTCTGAAAACAGCAAAAAAAAAAACCAAAAAACAAAAAACAAGTCACATATAAAGGAAAACCCATCAGAATCACAGCTGACTTATCAACACACACTATGAAAGCCAGAAGAGCCTGAACCAAGGTATTTCCAGTTCTAAATGATAAAACATGCAAGTCCAGAATACTTTACCCAGAAAAAATGTCTATTACAGCTCTGCTTCCCTGGGCCTGGAGGACCCACAGCAGGCCTCTCTCCTACCAACAGGCTTCTCTCCCGGCTAAGTCCATTGTGCCTTCCTGCCTTGACTCTCCCAGCCTCATTCACCCTCCAATCTCCTCTGTTCTCTCAGAGTTTGGGCCCTGCCCCACTCCTTGTCTTGGGGCCCCAGACACCTGGGGAACCAATACTGCTCCCTGATTCTTTTCATCCAGACCAATGTAGTGCCTTCTCTCACCTCCCTCTGCTTCCCTGGGCCTGCAGGACTGGCAGAAAACCTCTCTCCTACCAGCAGGCTTCTCTCCAGAGTAAGTTCATTGTGGCCCTCCCCGCCTTGACTCCCAGCCTCATTCACCTTCCTATCTCCACTGCCATTCTCTCCTCCAAGTTTGGGCCCTGTCCATTCCTTTTCTTGGGTTCCCAGACACCTGGGGAACCAATAAGACTTCCTGATCCTTTTTATCCAGACCAACATAGAGCCTTCTCTGGGCCCCAGCAGCACTGCTCCTGGGCCTGGCCCCGCCCTCACCTCCCTCTGCTTCCGTGGGCCTGCACCACCCTCACTAGCCTCTTTCTGGGACATGGGGCCTGACCTTTCCTCTTCCTGATCCTTTGCATCCAGACCAACCCAGCTCCTCAGTGCAGTCCCCAGGAGGCTTTGGGGCCTCTTTCCGCCCCATCTGCATTTGCATCTCTCGGTAGCATGGCCTCCAGCTGCCCTAGACCAGCATCTTTCCTTGGCCAGGCTCCCAGGCTAGTCCAACCCCCAAATTCCTGAGACCAAAATCATTCCTGGAGGGATCCAGACCTTAGGAGAAAGCCTGAGAGCATCTGATCCTCATCTGACTTGGGACTCTGTGGGAACT